GTCTTGACCCGACCATCGCTTAGGTGTAATAATCGTTTCTCTTCTCGCCAAATCTTTACCAGCCCGCCAATTCGGCTATATATAAACGCATCTTTTCGACCAGCACTCGCTATCGTATAATCAATCCGCAAACATGCTGTCCAAGACCTTCACCACCGCTGCTCTGGCTCTTGCCGCCTCTACCCTGGTGTCTGCCCAGACCTCCACTGACTGCAACCCCCTTGAGAAGAGTAAGTGAATCATCTGCAACCAAACGGGCAATATCGAGAGGAGTTTTGGGAAGGAGGCACTTTGACGACGCTGGATGTCATTGGGAGGCATCCGTATCTTGTTCAAGGACAAAATCACTGACAGCTCCTCACAGCCTGCCCCAACGACCCTGCCTTTGGTAAGAACTCGGGCAACTGCGACTTCAGCAAGGGCGCCTGCAGCAGCTTCGAGAGCCTGCCTGGAACAACCCTCAAGTACAGCGGCAACGGCGCTGTCTTCTCCATCAGCACCGAGACGGAGGCTCCCACCATCCGCACCGGCAAGTACATCTTCTTCGGCCGCATCGATGTCGAGGTCCAGGCCGCCGCTGGTGCCGGTATCGTGACCTCTGCCGTCCTCCAGTCCGACGATCTTGACGAGGTATGTCCCCTTTTGGTCCTTTGCTTGATCAGCAGCAAGTCTTGCTGACGTGATTCCAGATCGACTGGGAGTGGGTTGGCGGCGACAACGCCCAGGCTCAGACCAACTACTTCAGCAAGGGCAACACCGCCACGTACGACCGTGGTGCTTTCCACCCTGTCGACAACCCTCTGGGATCTTTCCACACCTACTCCGTGGAGTGGACTTCTGCCGGTGTCACCTGGCTGATCGACAACAACGTTGTCCGCACCCTGACCGCTGCCAACGCCGAGGGCGGCGCCTCTGGCCTCCCCCAGACCCCCATGCAGGTCAAGCTCGGAACCTGGGTCGCCGGCCGCAAGGACGCTCCCACGGGCACCGTCGAGTGGGCCGGTGGCTACACCGACTTCTCCAAGGCTCCCTTCGTCGGCTACTACAAGAGCATCTCCATTGTCGACTACGCCGGTGCCGACGCACCCACCTCCAAGAGCGTCAAGGAGTACATCTACGGCGACCACAGCGGCTCCTGGCAGAGCATCAAGGTCGCCCTCGGCGACGGCAGCGACGACAGCTCCGACGCCACCTCGACCTCTGCTGCCCACACCTCCACCAAGGCTTCTTCCTCCGCCGCTCACACCACCAAGGCCTCCTCCGCCGCTGCCTCCACCACCGCCGATGAGGAGACGACCAGCACCGAGGTCCAGACCACTCTCGCTACCGCCACTGCCGCTCCCACCACGAGCACCTCCGGCGGCAGCGCTGGTAACTCCACCGTCTCCGTCGTGCCCAGCGGATCTGCCCAGCCCACCAAGCCTCCCACCGTCCCCGGCAGCGCTGGTTCTCGCACCGCCGCCACCATCGGCAGCGTCTTCGCTGTCGGTGCCGGTCTTGCCCTGGCTCAGTTCCTCCTGTAAATGGAATCCTGCGGCCACGGAAACCCCTTTGGATTTGCTTTCTAGGAATGTACTTATTGCGGGCATGAAAAGCATGTAGATGGGGCGACGCGTGCGCGTGCGGAGCGGAGAGCGGACCAAGCTAATACTATACAAAATCGAGATTTACCCAGGCCGCCCTCGTTATTTTTTTACCTTGTTCACTTGTATATTTGGCAACGGGATATCAAAATCTTGCGGCACGTCTTTCGGGCTCGAGCGGTATATCTCTTTTCTCCTTTACACTTTTCACCCTTTCTTTTCTCCGACGAAAAACGCTTATAATGATCTTTTAATGGGGGAGGTCTGCTCTTTTACTCCGCCGAGTCGACTTTGTGGTTACGACGTTTGCTTGGACTGACGAAGAGAAGAGGATCGATGATATTTTGATGTTTATATCTGCTGTTGGTGTTTTTTGTTTTTGGCTTGATATCCTCCCTGATGTTTACTTTGCCTTGTTGGATCATGTATCTCGGCGCATGCCCGATTGAGGATGCGTATGTAGAAGGATGTTGAATGAGAAGCTTGATAACCGATTTCCTTACTCTCGTCATTGCTATGTATGCCATGTGATTTCATCGCCCTTGATATCTTGTGCTGTCTCTGCTTGTACTTGTTGTGAACCACGTGTTTGACGTGACTGACTCTCGATCTGATCTGACTGCCAAATCCAAACCTGGCGATTCTTCAACTCCTGCACCCCATACTTTGGCAGCCTGTTGTCAGTCTCGTCGTTGAAATGCGAGTGAATACGGGGTACGGAGGAGCACGGAGCATCCATGTTCATGACCCATGCCCATGATCCATGCCCCCCCATGTCCAACGGCCATACCCAACGGGGCAACCGTTTAAATTGCACACCAAGAGACGCGAGCTAGTGTACTTGTACTTAGATAGCGGCCTCGCACTAGTAGTTCCGTCTTCTCTTTGTCCCCCGCGCGATATGGGGATGGAGTTGGGAAAGGTGTTGTTGGGTTAGGCCCGAAGTGCACATGGCGTGGGCAAGGGTCTGGGAGGAGGCGGCTTGTGGTGCGGAAGTGGCTTGTACTCGTTCGGATAAGGGTAGTGGTGGTGGAGGTACATACATGTACAAGCAGTACGAGGTGCAAAAGTACGAGTTGATGCTAAGAGGCTCATTTCATGTTTGGTGCCTGCCAAGGGCTATTCTTTACAAGGGGGATGGATGGGTTGGGATTTGTTGTGGTGTGAGCGGTCTGTGGCTTGTGGTTCGTGATGGGGGATGGGAAAGAAGAAGAAGAAGAAGAAGAAGAAGAAGAAGAAGAAGAAGAAGAAGCGATGGAGTTGTTTCGGGCTGTGGGCTTTGGGCCTTGGACGGCCTGTGCTCGGTGTGAATTGTGTTTGAGAGTTCTTGGACGCAGTGGTTGGCAATTGAGTGAAGAGAGTAGTACCTCCAAGTGAGGGAGAGGGAATTCGTTCTGGGCGTGGGATGATTTTGCTTGACGGGCGGTTCGTGTTGCAGAAATTACATGCATGAACAATTATGTAGTAACCCTCAGGCTGTCATCAATAAAGGTACCTCAGTCAAAAAGATACGAGGGAAAATACTGGCAAGACTACCTTACAATGAGGAATCTCCGGCAAACGAATCAAATGCACCCTCTTTTCCCTTGCCCTTAGACGCTGGGACAAGGGGGAGCTTGTCTGCATCGGGCAAGAGGGATGTGTTCCCGTCATTACGGATATGACTGGGGGAGGGCGAAGCTATCGATGGTTTGGTCAATTGCCTTTTTCTACAATGGCAGTAGTAGTATCTTCGTTTGTCTAATTTGGTTTGTTGGAGCTACGTATGTAGGCGGGATGGGGGATGGGGGATGGGCGGTTTGATGGGCGTGGGATAATGATGAGGTTCTATGCGTACCTACTTAGTCGTACGCGTAAATGTGTGTAAAGACGGGTCTTTGAAGAGCATGGGGCGCGGTGGATGGGTAACAGGTGTAGTTGATTGCTGTGTTTCATGCTGCTTGAAAGAGCCATAAAGGCAGCAAGCGGCCCTGTTGTTGTCCTCTTCAATGCGCCTTGCTTCTCGCATTTTTAGCCCATTTTGTCTTTTATGCTCGTCTTGGGGCTCGCGTAAAGTACGTCCGCATCTCCCATGAGTTGCACGAGATGGCGCGTGATGGGATGGAGGTAAGGGACTGTTGATAAAGATACTCCACAGCTGCAGTCGGTCCAAGTGATCCGTACTCGCTTGTTAAACTGACAACGCCGTGAAGCTCACAAATGCAATGAATAGCCCTAGCCTACAAGCTTTTGTTTTTATAGGCATTTCCCAAGGAAAGAAGACGGCAGAACGAAGAGCTGCCCCAAGAGAAGGGCTGCGCCGAAGCAAGCGCACAAAAGGCGCGAGTCATGGAGCTTCAGCTTTGGCTTCAAGTAGAAGATCTTTGGTAGCGGCTTGGCTCTTGGACTTTCTTTTCTTTTCTTTTCTCTTCTTCTCTTCTTTCGCAGCTATTTTGCTATCATGGGGGGATGCTTCTACCAAGGATCCTTTTGGATAGTAGTTGTTCTAGTTTTGCTGCGGTGGGTGGAACGTGGGTTTGTGTGATTCGAGGGTGTAAGTGACGCAGGGTGCGATGGTGGTTGGCTTGCGAGTTTGGGGATTTTTGTTGACGGGACGGCTTTACATTGTGCTGTAGTTCTGAAGTGAATCTTGCAAGTATAGAGTTGTTCATCTACCCAGATAGGAGGAGGAGACGGTTGGCGTTATAACTATCGCTCCCGAAGAGGCGCGCTTACATGCAAGGTATGTAGTATCTATATACCACCCACGTTCGACGCGAGACGCATGCAGATGCCAACGCTGACGGGAGTTGCGTGGTACCAGAACGTATACACAGCTGTGGCAATCGCAAGCCTTCTGAGCATTGCCATCCATCATCACCAACAGCGGGTGTCTCACTCAGCCATACTCGCAACAACTGTCAAACTCGGCTCTTCATACTCCGGTAGGAAGTACTGTCAAGCATGGCGGCGCCACGGGGCAGCTCAAGACAACATCACATCATGGCTGTCTTGGACAGAGACCTGGAAGCGAATTGCGGTTCCTCTTTCAGATAGCAGGACGGGGGAAGAGCCCCATCCTGTTAGATCTTGCGAGTGTTTTGCCTGCCTTGTTGACACAAGGACACAACGTGACTGACTTCAGCTGTACGATCTCGTCAACTCTGCCATACTCGAGGAAGGTACAATCCATCCGGCTGCGGTTGACAAAGATGAAGTCTGTTATAAAGGAGGCAGGAAGTAGGCAAGCTTATGCTCTGTCTCTCCATATCCCACTTCCAGTCTGCATCTGATCCTTCAACAACTCATCCGTACAATACCAGCATCATTATCAACATTCTCATCTTCATTTATATCGTTACGTTCTATCACCTTGCTGTATCTCTGCTCTCCTTGAAAGTCAGGCAGTATCCCCCCGCGACAGACAGCATCTGCACCATGGCCCACCGCTGCTACATCGTCCCGCCTCACCTCCTGAAAGCCATCTCCGAATCCTCCCACAACTCGGATAGTATCCGCCAAGCAGCTCGATCAGCCCTCATTGCTCGCGAGACACTTGCCGCCAAACGCAGGCTGCACATTGAGTCCGTGGTCCAGAGCCGACGCACCAGCCGTGCTCCGCCGCCAACCAGTCCCTTTGTTCCCGCCTCTGTCCTTCGCTCTCTATCTCAGTCTGAGCATGTGGACGAGGAGGCTCGAGCGCGCGCAGCCAAAGACCTCGAACATGCTCTCTACCTTGAGTCTCGAGCAAAGGAGGGCGGTGAAGCGGCTCAGGCTCAGCTGGATGCAGACCCGGTAAAGTCAACGACAAAGCGATCCATCTACGACGCCGGGCACACCTCGAGCGAGAGCAAGCTGCCTGGCAAGCTTGTCCGGGGTGAGGGTAACAAGGAAGCCCAGGACAAGAGTGTCAACGAGGCGTATGACAATGTCGGAACTGTGTTGCAGTTTTACAAAGACAAGTTCAAGTGGATTTCCATTGACAACAAGAACTCCGACGTTATCAGCTCTGTACACTTTGGTGAAATGTACGAAAACGCTTGTAAGTCATGGCCTCTCCCCTTTCTATATGAAAACAGCACGTTGGCTGACGTGAGGGCAGTCTGGGATACCGAGGAGCGGCAAATGGTGTTTGGCGACGGCGGCGAGTTTCTGAGCAACTTTGTTGGCGCCATTGACGTTATTGGGCACGAGTTGACGCATGCCGTTACGGAGCATACGAGTCCCCTCAATTATCAGGGACAGCCCGGTGCTCTGAACGAGCATGTCTCCGACGTGTTTGGCATCATGATCAAGCAAAAGGTGCAGAATGAAACGGCAGCCAGCGCCGACTGGCTCATCGGCGAAGACTGCATCCTCCCAGGCGTCAAAGGAGTTGCCCTCCGGAGCATGAAAGCCCCGGGAACAGCATACAACGACCCTCGTTTTGTAAGTTGGGAGATTCTTGCCACGTAGGGTACCCCTGACTGACAACCACTCAGGGCAAAGATCCCCAAGTCGACAACATGAAAGACTATACCACGACATTCGAGGACAACGGCGGCGTCCACATCTTCTCTGGCATTCCCAACAAGGCCTTTTACCTGGCGGCCAAGGCCTTTGGCGGCTACTCGTGGGAGAAGGCCGGCCAGATCTGGTGGAAGACGATGCGCAGCGGCCAGGTGTCTGAGAACAGCACGTTCCTCCAGTTTGCCGACGCCACCGTCGACACTGCCAAGAAGGAGTTCGGAACTGACGCCGCCAAGACGGTTCGCAAGGCCTGGGACGATGTGGGCGTGACTAGGAGCATCTAGAAGAGGAGCCCGGGTGGTGGTTGGTGTACCGTTTTGTAGGTGCTGTCTTGCTGCGATTCTCCTATGAGCTCGCTCCCTAAGATGTATTCTCTTCTTCATCCGTTCCCTATAGTCTTAGTCTCTACAGTTTGGCTGAACAGAATTGAAAGAGCCGTTTCCACAATGGCATCTCCTAAGATGTAGGAATAGTAATCGAGGTGATTGCGATGCTGGAATTTCAGGAATGACGTACCAGTTTGATCAGAATGAGTGAAGGTACCGAGTACTTGATAGAAGATGAGAAACGATGAAGCCCAAGGCTAGGGAAGGTGCGACAGGCCTGAGTTCATGAAAGCATGACATGGTGATTTTAGGAAGGAGCTACTTGACTTCCCCTTGGATGACGAATTCGACATGTCCGTTCCTCTTAAGGTACCTATCTGGGGCAACTGTTTTGCTCTTCTCATCTCTACACATCCAGATCGACTTGTGGTAGGTAGTTGACAGTCCGTCGACTTGCATCATATTGCCACAAAGAGCTCGAGCGTGCTGGCCACAAAGTCAAGAAACAGCCTCATGGCTTCTTCATTCACGCCTCTCAACCGAACCGTTGGCCATAATGGCAGTTCCACAGGACCGCCGCCTTCTGCGCCGACCCTGCAGCAAGAAGGCTCCTGTCAATCACCAGACCTTCCTGTGGGAAAGCCAGACACGCCGAAGCATAATGACATCCGGCTTCGATACCAGCTCTCGCTACCAACCCTCAGGGCCCTCTCCACAATTGAGAAAGCGCCTGATCGTCGAAAGGTTCTCGAGACTGCGTGTCACGCAGCAGAGTTTCGGTCCTTCCCGATAAAGCAAGACCAGAAGAACCTGTTTCGAGAAATCAACGACCACACGGGCATTCCGTACCCGATCAATGGCCTCGTCACTGATCCATGGCAGAAGGTGTTTTTGCTCATCCAGATTGATCTCTCACGAGCAGGATGGCCCAACAAGATATCTGCAAACGGCCGGAAAGAACTGATGCGGGAGAGCGGCCGCATATACGTCGTGCTGGACCGTGTGCTGAGATGCCTGGCCGACATGTTTGGCGAGAGAGAGGACGGCCGGGGCGTTACCGTCACTCTCGATGTTCTTAGGAGCGTCAAGGCGAAAGTGTGGGAGGGCACCGAAATGGAACTGCTACAGGTCGAAGGGATTGGCGCGGCCAAGATGAAGCGTCTTACCGATGCGGGTATCAAGACCATCAAGCAACTTGCTGGACTGGAGTTTTACCATATCGAACGACTTCTCAGCAGAAACCCGCCCTTTGGGCACCAGCTGCTCACTCAACTGTCGGGATTTCCACTCCTGCATATGCAACTTTCTGTGATATCCGAGTATGTCTCTGCGCAGCATGACAAGCATGGCAAGCAAGATACCGCCGCGTCAGTTCTTCAGCAGCCCTGGATCACCAGAGTGTTGTTGGGATATAGCAACGACACTCTGCCCACCTGGTGCAAACGAAATCCATGGGCGACTTTGGTCATTGAAGGCGATGATGGCCGGCTCTTGTGGTTCTGGAGAGGGAGCGTAAAGAGGATTGAGGCTACAAAGGTCATGTTTGTCCGCCTGGATGCCAGAAAGGGGGAGAGCATCAAGGCTACCTTTGCCTGTGAAGGGATCGTTGGGACTCTCATACGAACGATACTGGTCATCTAGGATCTGCTGCTTGCAGTAGCATTGCATCTGACCTGCAGGCAATATCTCGACTTGGCAGTTTGAATCCGCTGCTCGCATCCGCACCCCACCAACTTGTTGACTGTATCGAACGAAGCGTCGATAGTATATTCATGACTTGACGGATGGCCAATGCGGCTCGTCCAGCTCTTTCTTGACCAGATTGGAAGGACATTTCCCACCACACTGGCCTGCAGCTGTTGAAACCAATGGTGACGGCCAATCTATTTTTGATGTAGCGCAATGCGAGGCAGACTGGCTCCAATCACAGTCGCTGACAACTCAACAGACTAAAAAGTTCAGCCGCAATTATTCTGGTGATCCTGGTTCGCCCCTCCGTAAGGGAGGGGGAACATCATGCCGAATCTAGGAGAGGCGAACAGAGACTGAGAGTACGAGATGAAGGAAGAGAAAAAGAAACATTATAAGGGAGAGGAAAAAACCAAACAAGAAGGGGAAGAAGGAATCAAGTAATCAGCGAGGAAAAGGAAAAGGGAAAGATGATGCTGCATGTTTTGTTCACTATCGAGAAATGGGTTCAAGACTCGCGAAGAGTGTCACAGCTGCATACTAGTTAGTGGCTTATACTGCATCGGCCGGGGCCTGATCCAGCCCGATGGATTCTTCCCCGGCAGGTCGACGCAGGACGAGACTTTGAGCCCCAACTTGCTTTTGTGCCATGAAAAGCGGCGAGAAGGTCTCATGGCCTGGGGTGCCTTCGCAGACGCGCACAAAATACGATATACGATCTGGTCGGCGTCAGCGAGCGTCGGCTGTGGCTGGTGCTTGTCTTAGCCTTGTAGCTAAGCTTAAGTGCGGCTCCGCTGCGACAGCCGACTGAAGAGTTACTATTCATCAAAGGGAACTGTTGCCGTTTACAACCACCGTTCACGATGAGCATGTATTGCATGCAAACAACCGCCGCCAAGGGAGTGATCGAAGAGCACGGCGACAGCCTCATCAGCCAGATTGACTGTTGGACTCGCTCAGCTATGGACAGCACCTCCTGGAGACGAGAGCGATAGCCGGCCTCTCGGTGCATACATAGCCGCACTCGAAGCCTAGACTTGGTCGGACTCTCGCTGCCATTGCTGGGGTATATGCACGAGCAAGATCGCCTGCAACGGTCTGGTTTTCAGCCCCGGTTCACCAGTCTCTATCGCTGGCATCATGGGGAGCTATACTCCGCACCATCCAACAGTTGCTTTGCGCCATTCCCAGAACCGCTCATCCCGCCCACATGAGCTGAAAGAATCGGCCCCGCTGCTGCACGAGTCTTTCCTCGTTCAACCCATCATGGCAAGGCATCAGTTGTCGTTGTTCTTGTCTCCGCCATAACTACTATTGTTGAATATCGCACCGCGACTGACCGCCTCAAGAGGAACGGGAACGAGAGCGTTAGGCACCCACCCTTTCGTCTTTGGTGTTGGGTGCCTGACAACCCATTGGTCCAGCAATCCTGCGCGAAGCCACGCAGCTGGACAAGCATGAAGATGGGCAGTTAGCTCAATCCATCGGCTGAACTGTGACTGTGCCACTGGAATAAGGCTTCGGCTGCCGTACTGGGAATGCTTGGCGAAATGGGCTGAAGGGTTAGTGCCGGCATGGGCTCTGTCAAACTCCAGCCCGTCCATGAGCTTCGCCAATCAAGGGCAAGATGGAGCGTTGCTTCTGGTTGGACCCCTGAATCAGGATGGCCCTTTAGCTTGTGATGGCTTCCCAGGATCCCCAAGGATTTATGAGCCAGGCACGGGGTCGAGCTACAAGAGTGATGGAACGGGGAAATTGTTGAGGGCATCTCATTGCAGCTTTGCGTACGGTAGCTGCATATAAAGGCGGCCGAGACCCTGCTTCAGCTACGGTAGTTGTACGTCTTTCTCTGTCGAGCACTCTTGCGGTCCAAAGGCAATTGCTTCTCCCTATCAGAGGTGTGTGTCGTCGTCTACTCGGTTTGCCGTCAATTCCGTCAACTCTATTCAGCCGACCACATGCCTGTCTACTCTGCTCTTCTCCTGGCCGCGGCCGGGTTCGCCGCTGCCGACAAGCTGGCAGCCATGAACATCGGGGAGGCCACTCTTCACAACGTCACCGTCGCCGGCCCGGGAGCTGCATCGTTCGGCGTCCATTCCCTCTCCGATGGCTGCGGCATCGGAATGACCACCTGCGACGTCAACAACTGCATGCCCCTGACCGGCGTCTGCTGCGGCCTCGGCAACGGCGCGTACTGCGACATTGGCTATGCCTGCGTCGACAACGGATGCTGTCCCGTCGGCAAGGTCTGCAACGGGCCGCCCACCGGCTGCGAGGGAGACCGTGATCTCTGCGGCGAGTTTTGCGTGCCCAAGGGGACTTGCGATGGAAGCGGTGGAGGTGGCAGCGGTGGCAGCGGTGGCAGTGGCGGATGCCCTTCCGGATACGAGGCCTGCGATGACGAGTGCATGCCCGCTGGCAGTGTCTGCTGCCACAACGGCTATCACTGCGATGCCGGCCAGACGTGTACGTCCGACTTTAAGTGCCGTCTCGGAGGCAGCAGCGGCGGCGGCGGGGGATCGGGTGGCGGCAGCAGCAGCGGTGGTGGTGATGGCGGCGATGATGGGCCGACTTCTTCCATCGACGACAGTTTCACTTCCAGGGGCTCTGGCAGCGGCCCTCTCCCGACTACGTACAGCCTCTCGCCGGACCCCGAGCCCACTGCCGCCCCTACCGAGTCGAACCCCTTTGGCGGCGGCGACGATGTCTTCACGTCGACTGAGGATAGCAGCCAGCCCACGCCCACGAACAAGGCTTCTACAACTCCCAGGCCTACTTCCAACGGTAGCAGTGGCAGTGGCAGTGGCGGCAGCAGCAGCAACGGTGGAAGCAATGGTGATGATGATGGCGGTGATGATGATGATGGAAACAGCAGCGGCAACGGTGGCTCCGGCGGTGCAAAGAATGGGGACAGCAGCAGCAGCTCTTCAGACGACGACGATGGAAGCAGCGGCACGATGAATGCCCCCAGCCTCATCGTCGGCCTGCTTGCTTTTATTCCCTTTGTTCTATAGACAGCCTTCTGTGTTGGGAATGTCGGACACGTAATATATGATAACGGGTGTGAGGTCTGGTAATGCTATATATCTATCTCAATGGTGATGGTGATTCCGGTGGGGGAAGGAAATTATGAAGAATGATACCTTTTTTTTGTTGCTGTGTTTTTGGTTGGGGTGGGTAGTATAATGAATTTTGCTCACAGTTCAATGAGATTTTCAATTCTTTTTCGTTTTGAGAAGTTACGTGAATGTTGGTGTTCTTGTGTTCAATATGCTTTGCGCGTTTTGCCTCTTACTACTGTTTTTCTGTTTTCATGAAGAACGAATTTAGAGAGACATGTCGATCGGGAGCTTAGTTATTCCTTTGCTGTGATGATTTGAAAGTTGGTATTTCGCCTATTCATACACAATCGTTGTATCGCTCTCTTCCATCCCCCCCCCTATTTAAACACAGGTAGTTTTACATATTCGAAGAGGGCAGAAAGTACAGACGTAAAACAAAACCGCAAAAGGGGAGGAAGTTCACCATATGCGAACCAAAAGTTCGCACGAAACGCCGTGCCTGCCCTGGTCTTTCTTCTTTCTTCTTTTTCTCTCATTTTCGCTCATTTTCGCTTCCTTCATAGCAGTTTGCAGTCGTGACAATGAGGCCAACAACGCCTTGTTTTTTTTTTCCCAACACCCCCTGTTTTTGTCCACGTCCCACCACTTTAACACTCATAATGAGTCCTACAGTTCCCTATCTGGTCCCGTCTGTTATACTTGATAGATGTTTGTTTCTTTATTTTAGTCCTTGGTTTGATAGGACATTGTTTTGTTTACCTTTCTTCACTTCCTGCCGGTGACCTGGTTGAAGCTCTCCAGCACCTTGTCCTTCAAATCGCCCTTGTTCTCGTTGGCATACTCTTCCGAGGGCGTCTCGCCAGATGAGGGAGCGCTGCTCTCGGCCTCGCCGCTGGAAGGCGGCGTGACCATCTGCTTGGCCAGCACCTTTGCCTGGGCCTCGCTGACCTTGCCGTAGACGTTGAGGCCGGTGGCAATCATGCCGCTGATGTCGCCCACGTTCCCGGGCACGACGACGGCCGTGCTCTCCTTGGCGAGCTTGCTAAAGGCCTCGACGTACTTCTCCGCCACCGCCAGGCTCATGGCGCCCTGGGCTCCGTGCGAGCCCTTGAGGATGCTCGCGGCGACGGCGTCGATTCCCTCGGCGGTCGCCTTGGCCTTGAGCAGGATGGCCTCGGCCTCACCGTCGGCCTCGTTGATGCGCTCGGCGCGCAGGGCCTCGGAGGCGAGGATGACGCTCTGCTTCTTGCCCTCGGCGATGTTGATGGCGCTCTGGCGCTGGCCCTCGGACTCGAGGATCTCGGCGCGCTTGGAGCGCTCGGCGGTGACCTGGCGGTGCATGGCCTCCACGACGGCCCCCGGGGCGTGGATGTCCCGGATCTCGTAGCGCAGACAGGTGACGCCCCAGGCCTGGGCGGCTTCGTTGATGGCGGCGGTGATGTTGGTGTTCAGGGCGGCGCGCTCCTTGAGGACGTGGTCCAGGGTCAGCTGGCCGATTTCGGATCGCATCGTCGTCTGGGCGAGCTGGGAGATGGCGTACTCGGCATCCTCGACGCCGTAGCTAAAAGCAAGGATCCTCGTCAGTACTCAGTTGATGGAGGTTTTCCCAGATTTCCCCCCATGAGCAGCTCTCAGACTTGCCGGCCAGCTGAGCAGCATAGGTGGGGGGAGGAATTTGAAGCATGAGAACCTGCAGCTCACCTGGCCTTGTACGCATCAAACACCCTCGTAAACAGCACGCCGTCGAGCTCCAGCGTGACGTTGTCCGCCGTGATGGCGCTCTGACTCGGAATCTCAATGGCCACCTCCTTCAGGCTCTTGACGTAGGCAATCCGGTCAATCACCGGCGCCAGGATGGCCAGCCCGGGCTCCAGGATGCGGCTGAACTTGCCCATGCGCTCGACGATCCACGCCGTCTGCTGCGGCACGAAGCGCACAATGGTGTTCGCGGGCAGCCGCGGCTTCTGGAAGTACGAGGGCAGCGGGCCGCCGAAGCTGCCACTGGAGCCGGAGAAGCTGGCGGGGAGGAGGGTGCGCGCGGAGGTGGTGAAGGAGGAGGAGGAGAGGTGCGGCCGGGTGCGGGGCAGGAGGAGGGCCGCGGTTGTCCTGCCTGCGCGGAGGGCGGCTCTTGCGGGTGGGAGTGAGGGCATCGTGGAGAAATCGGAAGAATGTGTATATGTCGTTATGCGAGCTGCCTGTGTATTGCTGCTTGAGCCGCCGAGTAGCTTTGACTGTCCTCGCTAGGGTCGGTCCTGGCCGTGAAGCAGCGTCACCCAGATGCCGAATTGGTCCCGAGGCAAAGCGCTGGACCAGCGGAGGAAACAAAAAGGAAAGTCGTGGCGGTCGTGCGAGGGAAAATCAGCTTCAATGTCGAGATGTCATGATGCTTGACAAGGTGCAGCAGCTTCTCGAAGAGCTGCCGCTGTGCCTTTCTCTGCTGCGTAGCCCGGCAATTACCCGATCTGCCGTGGGCCCTATGCAAACCGCTAACGTGCCAAACACCTCGGACAAGGTACCTCGGCCAAGGTCACTTCACTCAACAACTTGAACCCCGGGCCATTCCGTCATATCACTCATCATCGTTTCTCTTTTGCTCGCTGGTTCCAGTCCTGCATAAACCACCAAAAACTGCCCCGCGCACCAGGAATAGCTGCACCTTTTTGCTGCTGATCCATCCCGCGATAGACCGCCCGATTCACGACCAAGTACGATTACACTGCGATCTCTCGATTTTCGTTTGGAAAAAGAGCATTCATTATACACACACCTATAGAAGACAAGGCCCATTAGCTGCTACTCTGCGACGCAACCCCTCTCCTTCGTATCCAGCGACAGACAAGAAGGAGCTCGGGAATACCACATACACGCACGCAGCCCATCGAGAAGAGAAGAAAGCGAAGAGAGAAATAAGAAAAGACAGCAAAGATAGCCTCCGCCATGTCTGCCAAGGTCCCGCGCAACTTCCGCCTGCTGGAGGAGCTCGAAAAGGGCGAAAAGGGCCTCGGCGCCGAAGCCTGCAGCTACGGTCTCGAGGACGGAGAGGACCTGCTCATGTCCAACTGGAACGGCACCATCCTGGGACCTCCTCATGTAAGAATGATTTTGCAAGAAACCTCTCAAGAAGCCCGTCCTTGTCTCGGTATCACATTTGAGTCAAGCAAGAACTGGTTAGGACATACACAAGGCTAACACAAGCAAACACCACGTACAGTCGGCCCACGAAAACCGCATCTACAGCCTCAAGATGCACTGCGGCGAAAAGTACCCCGACGAGCCCCCCACCATCCAGTTCGTCAGCCAGATCAACCTCCCCTGCGTCAACCCCCAGAACGGCCTCGTCGACCCCAAGCAGCTGCCCTGCCTGGCAAACTGGAAGCGCGAGAACACCATGGAGACGATCTTGATTGAGTTGCGAAGGTGCGTTTCTCTTCTTCTTCTTCCCCTTCTCGCATGTATAGTGGGATTGTTGATGCTGATCTTCGGTCTGTATAGATATATGGCTGCTCCCGCAAACAAAAAGATCCCCCAGCCTCCCGAAGGATCGACGTACTCATAATTCACAAGAAAGCCAGAAAGGAGGGCGTAGGATGGAGGAAAAGCAGCCGTTGATAGATGATCAAAGTGGGCAAAAGCAGAAGCCAAAAGAAAGGAGGAAGAGCAGGACAAAACAGGCTGACGGCACATGGAAACCGTCTCCCCTTCTTTCCGACAGCTAACAAACCCGCAAAGAAAACGTCACTCACAAAGATTCTTTACGTAGCGCCATCTTCATTCAAAGCACAAATCAAGTCTTTCTCAGTTCACACAAATTGGAGGCACCAACGTCATGGCATTTCTCATTTCGAGATCGTCAACCCTTTCTCTCTCCATCGCGTACCGTAGTTGAAGCTTTGTTTCCGCATGAGCAAGCCTCAGGTTTGACGTTGTATATGAGCAACACCGCACGAGATACCGCACTCCCCCGTTTCATTTCCACAGAGGTCCCATCCGTCCATCCATTCCTCCAAAAGACTATGGTTCCTCCTCTCGACCTTTCGCCTCGACCTTTCTCGAACCCATAAATCCAACCGGTTTCGTTTTATTCCCGCCCCCTCTCTATCTCCAATCATGGATGAATAAACAAGAAGAAAAAACAGAAAGAAAGAAAAGATATAGAAATGAAAACAGGTATAAGCACAGGAAGAAGAAGATTGACTCTCCCAAATGACCAGGGGTATCATATCAGTTTGCTTGTGTCTGCCCATAAGATAGTGACAACCAATCCATGATATACAGCAATGTTCAACCTGACGAATTAGGAAAAGAGAGTATTACAAAATTGTAGTTATTCAACGACGCGTGGTATAGGCATGAATCGAAAGGTGCTCAAGATAGAGCAGTTCGTAGTTTCAAGGACAGAATGACATAGGCGCGTGTGTGAGTAAGGAAGCGTAATGTATTGAAAAGTCGTTCAGTCGTCATCTCCCCACCATCCCAGCTCGGGATCCCTCCGTACGAACCCTACAGCGCTCAAACGGGCCGTGTTCATCGCAGCACGGCGCGGCTGCTGTGGTTGGGGGAATGTCTCGTTGGAGATTGGGCTGTCTGGTCGCGGCACGTCCTCGTTGCCGTCCTCGGAGAGCCTGGTGAGCTTGGAAGGGGACATGCAGTCGGCCTGAGTTTGATGCCGCAATGATACTCTTCCCTTGGGCTTAGATGGCCGCTTCTCCTCTGGGTAGTCCCATGGGACAGACTGAAAGCCCGATGATAAGGCCGCCTCTTCCACAGGTTGGCCGTCGCTCCCAACTTGACTCCACTGGCCGCTGGAGTGCTTGCCTTGGTCGAGATATACAAGGACGTCTTCTGGTTCGGCAAAGTCCTCTGGTCCGCGAATGGAAGAGACAAAAGACGCTCTTTCGGATCCCGTGTCCGCAGTCAAGCGAGAAGGCGCTCGGTAGTTGTCGTCCTCGCCGTCAGGGTGCTCCGTAATCGGCGTGCTCATGAACGAGCTCGCTTGAGATTGCCGCGATTTCGTTGAATGGGTTGGCGGCGCGGGGAAGTCAAAGTCGAGCATCGAATCCGTCACTACCTGTACTTGGGACGGATTCGAAACATGTCTCCGAGTCGGAACAGCATCCGACTGTGAGTTGCTCGAGGAAGCCCGCTGCGACTTCTCACGCATGGCCTGGGTTTTCTTACGGAGGGCTGAGATAAGCATCTCCTCCTGGCGGGTAAGTGTCATGACGCAGCCTTGGCTTGCAGAGTCGTCAACAGACGATCGGGCAGACCGTAAATACCGGTTGACTGAGGTTGGGCTCGGTGGCACGGGCTCGTGGTCGGGCTGGCCCGACGATGTTGCTACCGATTCGCGGCGCAACGAGGATCCTGAGCCCCTTGTCAGCTGTGCCAATGCTTTTTGCCGATCCAATTCCGCCTGAGAAGGGCGACGGGCTGGCAGAACTGTCGTAAGATGCGAGTCTTCCGCGCCATAGCCATTTTGGCTGGTCATGGCTGAGCCGGTAGAGTTTGTAGATCCCACAGAGGGCTTGGGCGAAGAGGCGCGAGAGCCGTCCCTCACGGGCGGGTTCAACCGCGAAGGGGATGGCGACATGCGCTTTCGCTCGGCGCCTGGAGTAGCGATGTAAACGTTAGATGACGCGAAGCTCGTCTTCTTGCCTGGCAGTCCGCCTGACTCACGCCCCGATACCTGTCGTGCTCGTGACGGTCTCGTCTGGCCGTGGCCCGGTGCTTCTGGTAATGGTCGCATGGGAAGAGGCAGATGGTCTCTGGTCGATGCCTTCGCATCATCATTTTCCTCTTCTTGTTCAGAATCGGAAGACAGAAGCAGAACACTTTTATCGTAAAAGTCGGCTTCCTGGATGATACCGCTGTCGGTTTGCCGAGAGGCTCTAGAAGTTCGCGTGTGTCTGCTTGAAACACTCCTGGCACCATCGCCTGGAGAAGATGAGTACTCCGAGTGCGCCATCGGCTGCGGCTCATTTGATTCATTGAGGGGCTTGTGAAGCCAGTCGAGATTGCGGCGTGCGGCCGGCTCTCGCCACTCCTTCTCGCCCTGACCGCCAGCTGGATCCTTCTGATCAGCAGCGCCACTCATGAACTCGGGCTCATCCATAGCATCTCGAAAGGTCATCTGTTCATAGTGGTTATATAACGTAGAAAGCCTGTTTTCTGAAGAATGAGATGTCATCCGACGGCCTTCTACGGCGCTTTGTGGCGTGCTATCCGTCATAAAAGACCGAAAGCTGTCCTTTGTCCGTCGTTTGAACATGCCGCGGAGATCGCTCTGCCGATGGGATGCAGCAGAATATGGTGTTGTCGACGGGGTTTTGACTGAAGCGCTGGGGATACCGTTGTGGATAGTACCCATCTCTGTTACTCGAATGGGCGGCGCTATCGAGGTAAAGTCCAACTTAGGGGGCTTCCGCCGCGACTTGGGAGACTCGTCAGCATCGGGAGCAGCCTGCGTGTTCGACGAGTGGCTGCTGTTCATGACCGGGATCGAGGCTTGTCGCGACAGCGAACGTGAGTGCTTCGACTTGTCATGCCAAGATTTGATAGTGGAAGATGACTGGGCCTTTTTGAGAGTGCCAGGGAGATTCTTCGCCCCGAATCCGATGCTGTCGGTGAGGGCGCTCAACCTCCTGTTGGAAGGGGACGGTTGGCGCTCGTTTCTCCGTCTTTCGCCAGGCATATTCATATCCGGTTCATCCAGGGCCTTGTTATCGTACATGCCAACACTCACGGTTGGCAGCTTGGGGTCGTGAAGAGGAGCGTCGATGTTGAGCGGCGTCGAGCCCAAGATTTTATGAGCCTTGCTCATAGGCATCGTACTCGGAATGGCAGGCGGCTGAGGCTCCTGCGGCTTCTTACGTGCCGGCCTCGAAAAAGTAAACTTCTTCATCCTGTCAGATGTCCCCAAAGCGCTGGGGGAGCGAGGGCAAGAAGAAGAAAAAAAGCAAAGAGAAGGAAGAAGCTCCCGTCCCGACCCTGGTACCGATCGCTACAACTCCGTCATCTGACAAGATGCTCTAATGATGAGTCTCCTTCGCATCCAAGAGCCAGGCTGAGTGCGCGGAGCTGCACCCTTATTTCCAAGAACCCCAGACCCTCGATTGAATTGCTGAGAGTTCGAGTTCAGTTCGGTTGGTGAGGGCACATGCAATCGCGAAAAGGGAAAGCCTGGGAATGGCTTTGGAGTTCGCGTATCCCGCTAGTTACAGGGGCCCCATTCGATTATTTGCGTGTTCTCGCCCCTTCCCGGTCGTGGCAGCAAACTGGAAAACAAGGCAAGGAAGCAAAGAAGACGCCGCAGGGAGTACAGGAGCACCCGACTTCTCTGGCTGGGAGGCGCGTGGTAATGGCGGGGAAGATGCAAGTTGCAGAAGAGACAAGCAAGATCGGGAATGGGGGCACTCGTGTAAATGAACAAAATCTGCGGGTACCGTCTGGGATGAAGTGAAGCGAGGTCTAGTGCTCTGCCATGCTGAATTAGACCACTGCAGAATCCGCAGCCGTCTCCACAGGTCCAGTTCCTACCTTGGAGCAATATGCCTGTAGCAATGCGGTCGGCCGATCAGGGACGAGCCAGGGAGAGCAAGATGCGAGGAAACGGCCGTGGGTGATGAAGCTTCAAGGCCGCCCAGGCCGTGCGTGTCTATATTTGTACGAGCAGGAACGTGCTCCCGAGTGGCAGAGCGAAAAGAAGACGTCGTCCGAGTTATGGTAAGTGATGCGTCTGCAGGTGAAGCTCGAGGCCTGACGAACGATGGCGGGCAAGCTGTTCCCTGTCCGTTCGTCCCTTGGTTCTGCTCTGCCGTGATAGGAAGAAGTAGCGAGAGAATCAGCCCTGGCTGAATCACGAGGGAAGGGAAATGGGAAGTGGCGCTGGCATCGACAACCGCGGGAGTCTCAGACGATGTCGACAATGCTTGCAGGGCCAGGCAACCGATCACCGACCTGGATGCAACGCCAACAGCGTTCGTCTCTCCCCAAGGGCAAGGGTTTGCCAAGCTAGGTGCTGCTTCCCGCTGCAGGCTCAAAGGCAATTGACCGGCAGTAACGGTGATACGACGTGTGCCAGTCCCAAGCATGCAAGCATCCAATGAGTATGCACAACTCAATGCCACCACGACCACACCCGCGCTGCTGGACTCCGTGCTACCAGCAGTGCTAGCAGTAGCGTGCGTCTGCCGGCCTGGTGCTAAAAGGTGTAGGAACTTGCGGGAGATGAGGCGATTGTCACCTTTGCCTGCAGCCATTAGCTTCTACGCGTCAAGCACTGTAGAACAGATGGTATAGTATGTGGTAGTATTGTACCTTACCGACAGGCGCACACCTGAATCTCACTCGCGGGCAGCAGCAGCAGCTCCTTGAAGCACGGGCTCGTGCATTCGATCAGTGCTTCACAGCGGTACTTGGCGCCTGTGAACGTGAAGCCGAGCCAGGCTGGCCCCAAATCATCTCGGAGTGAGGCCCTCGTTGGGGAGACGCTAGCCACGATCTCCACGGCAGACCCATGCACGAGTCTCTGCCTCCCTGTCACCACTGGCTGCGGGCAGGTCCGGGCTCAGTGGCCTTGCAGATAGCATCCTCGTGCCAGAGCAATCAGGCGCGGCAGCACGCAATGACTTGGCTGCGCACACTCGGCTCGCTGCACCGCGGCCAGTCCGGGTGGCCTGTCTTGGACGTACATTGTGCGCATCTTGTATCAACGGACAAGGTATGTGTGTTGCCTTCTGTCTGCCTCTTTTGATGCCCTTGGCCGGTGACTGTGCACACGATGCCATCACCATCGTCATCATCATCATCATAGATCCCAGTCGCCTCGAGTCGGTGTTCGTCGGCTACTGACCAGGCGTCGGCTGTCTAATTTCCGCTGGGACCCGTCCTTGGGGGGGCTGCTGGCGCATCTCAGCCCTTTTCGCGGTGCGAGTGCGACACATGGCGAGCAATGAGGATGAGTCTCGCAGAAGAGGTGCGAAATGGGAGAGTGGGAAATGAAGTCGAGACCAGTGACGACTCGTGTCAGGCCCTTTTACCAGGGGTTCCCCTTCCAGGTTCCTACAGCAGGATCCCACGCCGTCTTAGGCCCGTCCGAGAGCACCTGAGAGGTCGGCGGAAGCCACCCCCCTGCACGGGCCGCTCAGGGCCAGGCACGGGCGACGTTTAGGGACCTTGGCGCTCCATTCGTCCGCTGAAGAGAGCACTGGCAGAGGCCTGCAGGTGGCGAGAGCGCTGGAGTTTGTGAACGGGACGCGACCATGAAATGTCCATGTCGACGGCGTCAAATGACCTCCTGGGCACGGATACGCGTTGATTGACCGGAGTTCACCGCTGTCATTTTGCTGAAGCTTCAGCCTTTTATTAATGACCTCTTTAATGATGGTTACCTCGCATCATGAGATCGTACTGTACTTAAAGATGCCTGTCCTGCTGTCAGTGATATCAGCGCGGGTACCAGCATGTACTCCATGCCCAGACCACGGCATGCGGAGTACATGTAAGCACATCTCATCTGCATGCGGTTAATCATGTAGGGCAGCAAGGGAAGGGATGCCGCTCGCCGCTGGGTTACACCCAAAGCAACTCTTGCAGGGCTGCCTTGAAGTCAACTTGTGCCAATATCAGGCCAATCACCCCTCCATACGAAGTACTTCGTACGGGCACCAAGATTACCGTGTTGAACCTGCATCAATCGACACGAACACTTCAACTTCAAGTTGTTGCCTCTGGTTTAGTCCTAGCACGAGTCAATACGCCATTTGACTCAGGCAAAAGCAACAACTGAGACATCTCACAGCAGTCATCACACTAAAGTACTGCTTCGCCCTCCTTGGGGAATCGATGGCCCATGCAAGGCCCTCGTCTGCTCCCGATGCCTTTTGACGTGAGTCCGGGGCAACCCACGTGTCCCTCTCGCTCTGTGAGTTATCCATGCAATGGAGCATCAGCTCCTCCCGTTAGCATCTTATTGGGTCTTGAATGGGCTGCATCCAAGCAGCCCGACAACTGCCGTACAAATCTGCAGTCTTAGTATCAATATCCCACCCAACGGGTAATTGGCCTGATATCCAACGTCATGCATATCGCGTCCCGTCTCTCTGTACCTAGGTAAGGTAAGATATTGTTCGCAACCGGCAGCATTTGACGTTACCACTCATTTGGGCAGAGGACGAGTTTAGCCGGTGAGATGAAAACCACAAGTACGAGAATGCACATGCCATGAATTGCAAACAAGGACAGGTTCGACAAAAGACATGCCCATCTCTTCGCAAAGTGCAGGGCGGGCACTGTCTAATTAATGCTGTCTGTCATACGTACCTCAAGGATCACCGGATCAGAACAGGGAGCAATCAATGCAGTCGCTTGGAAACTCCCACCAGCGTATCACTGTAGTACATGCAGGGACGCAAGCGTGATTCTCCCAAGGCAAGGGATTGGACACGGCAGATCGCCAGATTTGTTCGTGCGGACAAGGAACCAAGGGAACCCAAGGCGGTAAAAGGCGATTGATGTCTCGAGAGCTCTGAGCGAAGAGCAAGTGCCAGGATGCCTTGTTGATATTGTCAGCGTTTGCCAATGGCGGTGTCAAGCTGCTGGATGCCATCCTTACTGGTTACGTTGGCACAGCCTCACCGTCCGTGATGGATTACTTTCGTCTCGTCTCATCTCATCTCATCTCACAGACTGGACGTACATAAATTCAGCCCGCCCTGTACGCCGTTTGCCCGCCGTCCGTTAACACCGTTTTGCCTCCTCCGTCTGATCTGAAACAACGAAAGACACCGGCATCGTTTCGTACTGATACCATAACCGGTCATCCCCAGCCTGGGGCAGTGCCCTATTGGGTTCTGAGCTTCGAGCCCTCCAATCTAACTTTCGGTAACATCGCCTCAAGAGGAGAGACAGATGTGGTTTCACGCCGTGCCGACAAAAAAACTGCCTCCAGTCTGGCCCAACGCTAAAATCTTCATCGCCAATTCTGGCGTCTTCTTTTTCATCCATCATCTCTTATTTGGCCTTTTCTTCCCTGTCCGTTCGCGCGTGTGATTCGTTCTCCTTAGGTATTATTACCTTATCCCCTTGTCGACGAACCTTTGTACATAATTAGAGACGAACCTTTGTACATAATTAGAGACGGCTCAATGCGGAGCCCGCTGCTTGTTGACTTGCTGCCCTGGAATCGATCTATTGCTGCACGTACCGTTTGCTGGCCCGTCCTTCAGTTCTCTCTCGTCTTTTGAAGATTTCCCCTTCTTTCCTTTTTCCGAGTTCATCCCTTCGTTAATACCACTGCTTTGAATCTCGTAACGAAGACAAAGTTCATGTTTTAGACACTTGTCAAATTAGTATAGGTCCTTGCTTTGTGCCATGTGTGTCCAATGTTCTTGCACGTCTCAGCCAGCGACAAGTTCTAGTAATCCTCTGACCTCATTTCACTTTCTCGCCAGTAGTAGCAGTTGGACTAGCACTGACGAGTGTCTTGGGAAAACTGAACACGGAGTGCAGGGCAACGCATGAATGACTCGATGACAGAGTGGAGGCCGCCGCGATACTAGTAGTGCAAATTGCACCCATCATTTGCGTCTACGCCATACCTTGGGCCGAGGTGTGCATGGGTATGCTTACATACCTACAAGAACCTCGATTGATAAGCTCTGCATCTGACAGCTTTTCCACCTCTGTAGTGTACAGGAACGATCCAACGGAGAGCAATTGAATATACTCCATATACAATATCATTACAATGTCTCGCAACGACAAGAGATGGGGTTCATCATTCATCAGCACTAATCAGTCCTTCGTAATGGCGGCATGTCATTACATCTCCGAGCTCTCTTCTCACCCGCTTCATGGAACGAGAACTAAAAGAAGACAAGTAAGAAAGGCGGCGATCACCCCTTCTCCTGATGATATCTGCATCTTATTATTGCCAAAAGTATTCAGTACGGATGACTACTGCAGATCTTCTGTATCACGGGGTTCATAACAGATCAAGGATACCACGTTACCTCGCCTCGCAACACATCGAGCGCTCAGAGGCGCAGAAAGAGGGGCCACCAGTCCTGGTTCTTACCAAGACTCAGTCTGTAGCGATACCACCATTCTTGAGCTTTGGGGGCAGACTCAACAGCCTCTTGGATCCTTCTGGTTCGAAACTTGATGTTCACGCCTCTCCCATTCATGCCTTCCAGCGTGCCCTGGGCGAATCGGCGCCACCATTCGAGCACCTCCACGTGCTGGCGGAGAGACGCGATGAATATCACTTCCTCGGCGTCGAATATGACATTTTCGTCGCCTTGCAGCTTTCGCCAAGTTTCCAAGACATTTGCGTGTCCCCACCGGCTAGCTGTAAAAGCCACGCCGCCAGCATATTCAACATGAATGCCAGAAGAATGCCACCATCTCAGTATATCCTCCCGGCCATTGGTTGCAGCCCATAAGAGAGACCTGCCGGGTTTCAAGACAATGCTGCGATCCAGGGCGGCAGCATTGTGCCACCAGTCCAGGACTGATATGAGGCCGTTGCTGCTCGCTTGTTCCAGTGAGGCCTTGGTGTATAACAACGGAAACCCCGACTCCTTCCACCACTGCAGTATATGCACGTGGCCGTTCTTTGATGCGCCGTCCATCGCCTCTGTGTCGTAGACATGGCGACCTCGAAAGTGTAGGCTATTCTTCCAGTACTTCAAGACCTCGACCTGAGGAAAATATGCAGATGCCTTCGTTGGGAGAAACGCCCCGTCGAACGCCTTGAACAGCTGGGCATGGTTATGCTCGAGGAATTCCAGCACTTCCACCAGGGCAAATCGTGTGATGAGTTTCACAGCTAGAACCGGTAACATGTGAAAGTCAGCTGGCGCTTGGGATAACTTCTGGCAGATAGCACCCGTGTCACACGTGAGGACCGTCCGCTCCAGATCGTGCGAGTACGCGAGCAGAGGATCACTTGGTTCTTCAATCTGCGTGTTCCACTCTCCTGGGACAGGTAGACTGGTGCTGATGCCCAAAGTATTGGCCAGCTCCCAGTCGCCTGTGAAGCTCAGTACTTTGCTCCATAGCTCGTATGGAAGCCCTGGGAGAGTGCGCGCCTGAAACTTGGGCATATCAACGACTTCGGTGGTGGCCTCTGTATCTCGACCGAGATTGAGTAAATCAGCCTGGTTTTGGATGAGATCCAGTAAATCCCGGAATCCACTCCAATTTGTTGCTTGCTGCGGATGTGCCGCATCTTCATAGTGCCATAGTATGGGCTGCATCACTCGAATGCAGGGCCATGCTCTCTGCACTTGGCCCAACTGCTGCTGCACAGATGGGTTCAGCCATCCGCCATCGTCCAATCCAGGTACCATGATACACGCTTTCTGAGCCTTGGTCCAGCTTCGCAGTAGATCATCAAGGAAAGTCTCGCTTGCGTCGGCCAATAAGTTCTCAATACCTTTCACACCCAGGGGCACACAAACCAAGAGATCGGCCCATTCGACCAGATCGCTGATGTTCAGACCAGAGCGCCTAGGAGATGCGTTATCTAGGTCGGCTTGCTGCTCCTGAGCTATCGGCGAGTTTTGTATAGTGATGATGAGTTGATTCAGCCTCGGCGGCGGGTCATCGACCACTGCTCTCATCTCGATACGACGGTCCTTGGAGAGCCGCACCACCAGTGGTTGGGCCCAGGACGAATGCCGCGTGCCCGTGGCGGTGACGAGCAGCCGCAGAGGGCGGCTTTCCAGTGAATCTTCGCCCAAAGAAAAGCAGGCCATCATGTCAGAGGCGGCGGGCCGCGGAGGTTGATGGGACGGGGACTGCATGGCACACAGGCGGCCAGACCAGCGGGCTGAGCTCGTTTCACAAGTTCCGTAGATATGGAGGCTTGCGTGAACTTGCTCGACATTTCAGGTGCCACGGTCAAAGCGAGGATCGACCAGACGGCAAATCACCCAGACTTTTTGCTGAACTGATCCGATGCCGTCATCGAGCCTTTGCCGGCTCTTCCACGGCTATGAAAGCCCGGCTCGCATCTTCAGTTGCCTGAAGTTGAGGTGAAAATCATCAGTCTGTCGTCACATAGTCCAGCCTCGATATCGTCGGGGAAAGCTGTGTCCAACCTTTGGCCGTTTGAACGAGTCCTTGCGAGTTGATCGTCAAGGGGTGCAAGGTTCAAAGTTGCGTGTTTGCAGGTGTCTCTCTTGAGAGGTACGAAAGGTGCTGCGACTAGTCCATGTACGGCTAGGACCAACGCACGTAGAAAGGCGGTGAGAATTCTGCCGGCTCTGCTGCACCAAGGCATTAACAGCTACACGATGCCGATACGCTGTGCTGTCCTCGACCTTGGAAGAGGTCGACTCTGGGCGAGGAGCATGCCACCGCAGTATTCGCTCATTCTTGCGCCGCCGAAGCTGCAGCATATTGATCCAGACATTGCCCCCCCGTCCATTGCCCATGGGCAGATTATTCGGCCTCATCCACGATGACGACGCAGCTTCTGGCCACGGAGCTAGCTAATCTCATTCAGGAGAGCAAGAGGAAGCACAGTGACCTTCGACAGGTTTGGACTCTTTCTTTCCTGTTTGCGGCGCTCATCAGCTCATACATACCTCTCCTCATCTAGGCGGCCGAAAGATCTCTGGAAGAGCTAAAGAGTCTCGGCAATGTCCCCGAGACGGCAGCTCCTGAGTGTATGCGCCAGTGGATCCTTCTGAGCCAAGTGACATCTCGTTGACAATGACTCCCCAGTGCTCTCGCAGAAGCCCAGCTTTGTGAATCCCTTCATCATCGCGTGTGGCACCAAGAATGCAAAGTTCACGGGTATTGCCATCGTCTGCCTGCAGAGGCTCATCGTTGCCAAGGCGCTGCCGAGGTCGAAGCTCTACCAGGTCTTGGAGGCGCTGATGCAAGCATCGTCGGCTGGGCTTGACGTGCAGCTGAAGATTCTGCAGGCCCTGCCGTCTCTGCTGCAGAACTACTCCTCGGACTTGAATGGCGATCTTCTTGTGACTGCCCTGAATATCTGCTTCATCCTGCAAAGTAGCAAGAATGCCATTGTGAATAATACCTCAGCCGCCACCCTCCAGCAGCTCGTCGTTTCTGTATTTGACAAAGTAGTTGCTGAAGACAGTGAGTCCCCTGGCGCAGATGGCGAAAGCATTTCCTAACGTTTGTACAGAAACTGGGGGTGATGCCCCTATCGCAGGCGAGGCGCCCTCCGCCGATGGCAAAGTAGAACTGCGCGCGGCCGCATTGGATGCTTACCGTGTTAGCAACCTCTCTGTCCTTGCGTATACCTAGTGAGCTTCAGGCTAACAGTGCCAGATATTCAATGACCTGTGTCTCTTGACGGAGAACCAGCGGTCCGAATTCTTGCGTTTCTCGGGCTTGCAACAGACATTTGGGCTCGAGTTGATCGAGTCGGTCATTACCAACCACGCCGCCGTCTTCATCACCCATCCCGAACAGGCGCATATTCTTCGCGATCGCGTAATGCCTCTTCTGATGAGTGCACTCAAGGGAAAGCCGTCGTTCGCCACAACTGTGAGGCTCGTTCGCATCCTCTATACCTTGCTGCGACGCCACATCACCGTCTTGCCGACCGAGTGCGGCGATGCGTTGTCGCTCCTTACGACCCTCCTGGATCAAGATACCACCATATGGAAGCGGGCGTTATGCATGGAGGTATTCCGCGGTATATTCGCCGAGCATGCTCTCGTGCGTCGCATATTTGCCATGTACGACGCCAAGGAGGGCGACAGGGACATCATCAAGACACTTATCGCGACTTTTGTCCGGCTCAGCACCGAGAAACCAGCAGTCATCGGCCTCGGCCATCAATCCACGATGCCAGTCGCCGATCCATCTGGCAGCTCCAACTCATCCACAGACCAAGCCTTGATTGAAGCCACCAGTGTGACTGGAATCATCGGCGGTTCCGTTGGGTCAGAGGTCTCCAACATAGGCATCAGCGTGGCATGGAGCTCTGTCCGAGTCCCCTGCATAGATCAGCTAGATAAAGCTGAGGCTCCGACGATTCCTGAGTCATACATCTACAGTTTGATACTGGCCTGTCTATCGTCTCTATCAGATGGGCTTGCCAAGTTTATTCTACCGCTCACGGTTCCTAACGAGACCCGAACTCGGAGAAAGGCCTCGAAGCAAGACATGGGGCGTAGCTCACCTGCTCCAGCCCAGCTGGAAGCCGAAGGCTCATCTCACGGACCGCGAGAACGGTCGGCGTCTTTCAAGAAGAACCCCGTGCCTATCAATCCGTTGGACCTTGAGGATCATCCCGCCTATCCAGAAGTCAGGATCTGTTCTGACATCGTCACCGAGTGCTGGCCTGCTATCCTGGCAACCTGCTCAACCTTTCTTTATGCTTCTCTGGATTCAGAGTATTACCATGGCCTGGTTCGAGCATTCCAGAGATTTGCCCACGTGGCCGGCCTGTTGCAGCTTCCTACACCGCGGGATGCGTTTCTATCTACCCTGGGGAAGGCTGCAGTGCCTCCGAATATCCTGAGTGCGTGCGTTAATGCCGGACAGTCGCGGTCTAGCACGGCCACTACTCCTACGGAGACCCAGAACAGCGTTTTCAGTAACGCCCGTGGCCTCTTGAGCGTTGAAAACCTGACGCAAGTGTCCAGCCCCACGGAAAGGCAGCGGCAGGGGCCGTTGGATCCGTCGATAACCCTCAACACACGGAATCTTCTCTGCTTGCGAGCTCTACTCAACCTCGGTATCGCACTCGGCCCAACGCTTGGGCATGCCTGGGGCATCATATTGGAGACTTTACAACAGGCGGATTTTGTGCTCTACGTCACGGGTAAAGCGCCTGTGAGAGCCACGTCCATAAGTCGCAGCGGGCAAGACTATCAAAATGAATCAGAAGGCAACTCGCTCATGGCCAATTTTGGCAGCGAGGTCCGGTCCGTCGAGACGGCCGCGGCCAGATTGATTGAAAGCAGCGTTGACTTCCCCAATGAGTCGTTTGTCGAAGTGGTTCAAGCAATATGTGGTTTGCTGCCAGGCGAGGGCGAGGCTAAATCCAGCACTGAGAACAAAGAGCAGCAGTCGCGGCCGACTCAGCACGTGAGGTCCTCGTCTGGACAACATCGGCGAGTGCTCAGCTTCTCTGGCCAGTCGACGATATCCAATCAAGAGCTTCAGTTTGCACTAGCCAAGCTGGGAGAGGTTGCCATGATCAACTTGGAACGGTTGTTGAGATTTGATCCGAAAGAGTCAGGGTGGGAGATGCTAGTGCAGAAACTGATCCAGATGTTGGACTGGGGCGTTATCAGTCCGCCAGTCAGGACAAGAGCCTCGGAGATTCTAGCTAAGCTGGTGCTCGAAGCAGCCAACGCTGCAGGTGCCCTCCCTGCCGATATCCGCGGGCCGATTCAACTTCGTTTATTAGGGGCGCTTCGGGATTCGTTGAAGCCTCTGCAGAAGCGCGGCAGGGACATTTCTGTTGCAAACGCGACAACCGACGTTGAAATTCATCGAATTCTACTTGACGGTTTGCGAGGCGTTATCGAGGACTGTGGGCAGACCCTCGTCAGCGGCTGGGACGTCACGTTTGATATCATCGGGAGCGTTTTCACAACAAGAGAAACTGATCTCGCAGATGGAGAATCCATCATCAGCGCTCGAACCCTCGGTACACGATCGTCGAAGCTTGTGCGAGCCTCTTTTAGCTCACTCCAACTTATTTGCTCGGATTTCCTGGCTTCGTTGCCCAATTCTTGTTTCTTAATCTTGGTCGATACCCTCTACAAGTTCTGCTCTCAAGACGACGATCTCAATATCGCATTGACGGTAAGACCTGGCTTTCTGAAAACAACACCGATCTCTGTTGCTAACTAGGGCCCACACGCAGACTGTGACCTTTTTCTGGACCCTTTCCGACTTCTTATCCGGGAACGACAAGTCGCTGGATATCACGATTGACTTGTTCCAAGGCGCAGATGTGGACGCCTTGGAACGCTTGGCAGCAGAGCGCAGCCGAGGATCTGACGCAGCGCTGTGGATGTTGCTGCTGTTGAGGCTTACAGCTGTCGCCTCAGACGACAGGGTCGATCTCCGCAATACGGCAATACAGACGCTGCTCCGAATCTTTGATGCTTACGGCGAGAGGCTCAGCCCTGAGGCATGGTCAATATGCATCAAATCCGTGGTGTTCAAGCTGCTGGCTTCGCTTGAAGAAGAGCTGCGCAGTACCCAGGACGAAGAAGTGGACGAAAGCGATAGGACAGAGTGGCACGATACCGCGGTTGTCGTGCTGAATGGCATATCGACCCTGCTCGGAAATAACCTCGAAGTGCTTACGGCGCACTCATCCTTCAACGAGCTTTGGAACGAGCTGCTGGGACATTTAGCCACCCTGCTCGATTTCCACATCCTTGACATCAACACTGCAACTTTCAAAACATTGAGCCACGTACTTTCTCAGTCCGGAAACGAGGAGAAGCCCATCTTCGACGAAACAACTGTCAGGTTCGCCTGGGACTTGTGGTCTCGGGGTATCCCAATTACGAAATCTCCAAGCGGGAAAGCCCAAGACAACCAGAACTGCCTGATTGCCTACGTGGTTGCCCTCCGTGAGGTCTACAGGCTGATCAAGTCTGATTTGACTGTGGAGAGGGTGCAACGGATACTCAGCTTGCTACGCCATACCGTCGAGGAGGCTTCTGTGGGAAGCTATGCGACCGATATTGATAATCTGACACAGCTCCAAGCGCAGGTGCTGGATGCCGTGAAGATGGTTCGGACCGACATTGGCGGCGTTCCGTCGGCCTTGATTATGCAGGTTTCTGAGTTTGTGACTCTGGCGTATGACCGAGACTACGAGTCTCAGCCCCAGTCAAAGAGGACATATGTTGCCATGTCAAAGGCCAGTATGCAAATGTTGGAGGGCCTGGTGGTGAGCCACTCAACTGATGCAGACATCTACACGAGCGGGTCGATCAGCGCAGCTCTATCCGCCCTTCTCAGGCCTATTGCCCTGAAATATCAATTCCCCATTACAACGAAGTCAACTCAACCCTGGAAACTGGCTACTTCGACAGCGTTGGCCATCATACAGGCGGCACTATCGAAACTGGACAATCTCGACATACCCACGAACACAATCCAAGGCATCTGGCAGCTGGTTGCCGATATTGCAGATGGTATTTTGAGCGCCGATTGCGGTAGTCCACCACCCGGGACAGACATCGCAGAGGATGAAGCAGCAGATATTGCTTGGTTTCACAGATTGGTAGAACTGGTCATCCCAGGGATGGGGTCAGAAAGAGTGAAGGAGGAGACTCGGAGGGCATATACCAAGAGCCTGTTTAGGACATCAATTATCCACGAACCTCCACTGGTCGACAAGCTCGTCATTGAGGACGGAGGACCTGGATTGTCCAAATTGTACCATCCAAGAGCCGGACTTACAGTGTCGCTACCACCGACCCAACGCACGAGGATGGCCTATGTTGCATTTGAAGAGCTCTTCTTGCTCGTCTCAACGGACGCAGCGGCTGCCCACAGGCCGTCTAACGCCGAGGTCACGGACGATTATTCCACTTCAAGAAGACGCATTGCGTGTACCGCGGCCCCGTTCCTACTTTTGCGATGCGCGCTGACGCTTCGCGCCTATGTATCCGACCAGCCGCTCCGAGGCAAGATGCCGCAGCCCCTGAGCCAGAGGAAAGAACTGCTCTGGATGTTGCAGAAGCTAGTTGGGTTGCAGAGCCAGAGCGAGGCGATACGTCCTTTGGAAGGGGCAGTGAGCGAAGACAGGAAGCATTTGCTGAGGCTGTATCCCTTGATCGTGAAGGCACTGAGGGTGCAGGGCGACGACAAGGTGCAGTCACTTTTGAGGGATGCATTGGACGTTGTAGGGGGGGAGTTTGGCATTGTTTAGTCGGTGGTGGAAGGTGTTTCGCTTATTGATTCCAGCATGTCGATGATAGATGTACATTATTTGACAACTAATAGAGAGTCGACGCGACAACTCCAGTTCATTGCTAGATGGTTTATGTTGTCAAGATAAACAAAGTCATACCTGACCGATTACTGAGCTTCGAAGCCTTCCATATACGATGCTACTTAGTTACCAACGTCTATGTCAGAGCCTCTACTTCAACTGAAGCTTCAAAGCAGGCAAATTGATAGCTGATCGGACTCTTCAACTCTCATAGAAGTCCATATTGCCTGCATCTCCGCCTTTCATACAGGGTAAGATACAACTAGTAGAAGAATGATAGAAAGAGACCCGCCCCCGCCACACCAACAATAGAAACTGACAAGCACCAAAAAGTGACATCGCGGGGCAGAAAAAAAATCGGACATACTACAAACATCTTGTCGATACACTGACATCTCCAACTGCCACGCCCTTTTCCTCCTCCGCACCGAACAAAAACGAAAACCCAAAAGCAAGGAGGGAAAAGCTACATACACACCTTTCAGTTGGTCATGGGCAAATCCTCCAAAGACAAGCGCGACGCCTACTACCGCCTCGCCAAAGAGCAAGGCTGGCGCGCGAGAAGCGCATTCAAGCTTCTCCAACTCGACGAAGGTATTACAGCATTACACACGAAAACCCCTCTCCAATTGTGACCAAAAAGTCTTTTCTACTAACACAACTTTTTCAAAACCCCCCCCCCAGAATTCGACCTCTTCTCCAACGTCTCCCGCGTCGTCGACCTCTGCGCCGCCCCGGGCTCCTGGTCCCAAGTCCTCTCGCGCGTGCTCATCAAGGGCGAAAAGTTTGGCCGCTCGGCATGGCAGGATCGCGATGCCCGCGTGCGGCAGCAGATGCTCGGCGTCTTTCCCGAGGCCTTTACGCCCGAACAGAGGGAGGCCATAGAAAGAGAAACATCGACAACATCGACAACAACATCCTCATCAACATCTGAGCCCGCGACGACATCGACAACAACACGCCCCGACGTCAAAATCGTCTCCATCGACCTCCAGCCCATCTCCCCCCTCGCGGGCATCACCACCCTCCGCGCCGACATCACCCACCCCGCCACCGTCCCGCTCCTCCTCTCCGCCCTCGACCCGTCCTACGACGCCTCCTCCGCCGCGGGCACCCATGCCCAGCACCCGGTCGACCTCGTCCTCAGCGACGGCGCCCCGGACGTCACCGGCCTGCACGACCTCGACATCTACGTCCAGTCGCAGCTGCTCTTCGCCGCGCTCAACCTCGCCCTCTGCGTCCTCCGGCCCGGCGGCAAGTTCGTCGCAAAGATCTTCCGCGGCCGCAACGTCGACGTCCTCTACGCCCAGCTCAAGATCTTCTTCGAAAGGGTCGTCGTGGCCAAGCCCAGGAGCAGCAGGGCCAGCAGCGTCGAGGCCTTCATCGTGTGCCTCAACTTTCGGCCGCCGGCGGGCTTCCACGCGAGCCTGGAGGAGCCGCTTGGCGTCGGGCGGCGGCTGGACAGGATGGTCAGGGAGCGGGAAAGGCAGCTGCCGATTGTCGCCGAAGCAATCATGCAGTCGGTCGGAGGCACTTGGGACTGCAGCGTCACATCGGCACCGACGACATCTCACGGGGACGGAATCACAGAAGTGGAAGTCTACGACGACATGGTGGAGAACGACAGGGACAATGGGGCACGCTGGATTGCCCCGTTTATTGCCTGTGGTGATCTATCAGCCTTTGACTCCGACGCCTCCTACCAGCTGCCCGAGGACTATGTCTCTCTAGACCCCGTCCAACCTCCTATTGCTCCGCCGTACAAGAGGGCGCTCGAAATGCGCGCTGGGCTCGCTAGGCCAACGAGGTAGAAACGCGTGCTGGAATATATGAGAAGAAGAAAAAAAGAAGACGAAGTAACATGCAAAGAGACCCAATATGCAAGCAGAAGCTACCCGTGCCCGTCGAAGCGTGTCGACCGAGACTATGCAATGCTGAACCGACATGACGATATGATGAGAAGGAAAGGGAAAAGACCATGAGAACAAGGACATAGAATGGGAATCAAGATGACACGACGAGAAATAACAAGAAAAAAAGAAAGAAAGAAAAAAACAGGGCAATCAGACGACAGCCTCATTTGTGATCCTCCGGGACATCCTTGACGCCCCCGCCGGGCATCTCCAGCAGCACCAGGCCGGCGGACGGGCCCTGGTCCCAGTCGAGGGCGCCGAGTTCGCGCTGGTACATCTTGGCGGCGGACTTGTCGTGCGTCATGAGGACGAGGCCGCGCAGGTTGGGCCACTCGTCGACGACCTCCTTGAGGCCGCGCATCATCCAGCTGGCGAGGCCGCGGCGCTGGAACTCCTCGATGATGAAGACGTCGGTGAGGTAGGCGAAGGTGACGTAGTCGGTGATGACGCGGGCGAGGCCGACGAGCCTGATGTTGGATCCGTACGGGCGTTTCGGCGGACCGTTGTCTGTTGGATGGGGGAGGGGAATGTCAGCTAGGTGATTTTCCGTGGAAGCGTGCCAGGTTTGGCCCCAAAAAGCGCAACCAACGTTGCGATACAAAAGGAAAGGGAATGGGAAAGGGAAAGAAGGGGAACAAGGACGCACTCTGCATCTGCTTCTCCGACTCGGGAACGTGGTATACGCTAATGGTCATGCAATTGGCGAGCATCTTGCGCATCTGCTCCTCGGGCAGCGGGTCGTTCCACCACATGAGGTCGGATTCGAAGACGGCGTTGACGGCCTGGGGCTCGAGGTAGGCCTTGTCGGTGGTGAGGAAGAAGTTGTCTCGGTACCAGTACCGCGGCTTGCCCTCTGGGTGGGCAGAGGAAGAAGAGGAGGAGGAGGCGGCGGCGGCCTTGGAGCTCTTGGAGACGAAGGAGCCCATGGTGGTTACTGTTGTGCTGTGCTGTGCTGATGTGGTGTGTTGCGGTTTTTCTCTCTCAGGCTGGCTGGTTGTTGACTCTATTGCACGCTTTCCCTGATCGTTCTGTTCAAAGGCTCTTTTCTGCTTCTTTCTAGTAGAGACTGGACGGGTTGTGGTTCATAGAAGGGGAAAGAAGGAATGGAGAAGATGGCGGCGCGGTAGCAGTACGATATAAGTTCTAAGCTCGGCGGAACGACAGCTCAACTTCAACCACCCTTCACACACACACACCCCCTCCCCTGGTCCATCATGCTTCCTCCGTTTCTGCTTTTCCCACCCCTGGGGACGTTTATGAGTTTCCCCATGTCCTCCGCCTTTCCGCCCTGCTTCCTTTATTCATTTCTCTTCCCTCTCTGTAGATGACCTAGATTTAGAAACACTGGGGATAAGTACGTGCATAATTTCAGTACTACATAATGTACTCGTACTACTACCACGCAAGGTACAGCCTTTCCCGAGGAGATTGAGCCAATCCCGTGGCGCCGTTGGTTCATGCTAGGCGGCTAGCTGCGGCTCTTTTGGAGAGGGGATTGCATTGCATGTACATTACATGCTGTCCGGGTTTTTAGTCTCAGTGGCTTTACTGTACTTGTACGTTATCCGATGATGTGTCTCTCGTCTGTATGTGCGTTCATGTTATTGAAGGGGGTCATGTGCGCTGCTTTCTGCTTTGTACATAGAGGACATTAGTAGAGAATGTACACACACAGGCTGCGAAGCGAATCGGCACTCGGATGCGCATAGAAGTACACAGCACGAAAGTACATGCAGACTAAGAGGGGGATCAGATCGAAAAGAGATGTTCGGCGGAGAAGCGGGTCGTTCGGGAGGCGGATGAGGAAGGTCGGCGGTGATGGATCCGGATCTCGTTTCCAAGACTTTGACTTCTTCTCTGCTTGGATTCATTCCAGTATTCTTATTCACCCTTCGTCTTCTTTCTTCCATTGTTTCTGTGCTCATTCTACTGCTCAGATCATATGTAACAGGATCTGTCTATTGCAGCCATACCCCCCAAGGCCCGGCATTCTAGTCTCCCAATCCGCACTCTGCGGCCCTCCGGCAAGACGGGCTGGGGAAGGTTGTTTGGCTGTGGTTTGGTTAGTCGGCCCTGGCATCTTCATAGCATGACCCCTCCTGCAAGTCAGAAGCAGTATCTCTTAGGCAATCATTACATACTAGTCCTCGCAATCCTGCGCGCGTGTCTCGTTTGTGCAGAGCGTGGAATTGGTGATCACAAGCCGCCCAAATCACTACTACTGTAGCTTGAGAGTTGTCGAATGGGCAATGGACGTTGTGATGTTTGTTGTGGGGCTTCACCGCGGGCCCCCGAACCGGTCTGACGGCATGGGTGGGACGAAGGGGGTGGAGCGGCGGCACTGAATAGATACCGGAAACAGCGATTAACGGTAGAAAACGGGGGCTGGGGCATGATGCCTGGCTTGTGACTGGGGGACGACGTCTGGAGGCGAGGAGTTGACGCTGGTTGCTTGCACGGGGTATTAGACTATGGCTGTTGTTGAATGCTGCTGTTTCTACTATCACTACTACTGTACATAAGGTAGGTAGTCATCTTACCCCAGACCGCCCTGTTTGCTGGGGAGAGGCACGGGGGTCTCTTGATAACATCAGCTCGACCGCCTTGACGATAAAAGGACGAGGACAAGCTTGTTCCCCGTCGCGTTTTGCTCTCCTTGCGCCAGGGCTGAGATGGTCGGTGAGCCGAAGCGCCTCGTACATGCATGTGCCATGCTTGTTACAGTGACAGCAGCACGATAAGACAATTCGACACCCCTTTCATCAAATCGTTGAGGCGACTTGACGACTTGTGAGGTACTTTGTCTCCCACCGTATGTATGACGGCATGTTTGCTTGCAACAAATCAATCACCGCTTCGGACACTTTTTTTTTTTTATTTTTTATTTTTTTTTATTAAACGATAGACGCCTCTTCTGGGCTAGAGAGAGTCAAAAGGGGGGGGAAGAGAGAGATCTAAGGTACTACCTGTCCAGGTAGGTACGGAAGTACAAGCCATCTCATCCAACTGGATGCGTCTTAGTAATCGTCTTGGGATGGAGGTGACGCCGACTTACATAATACGCGGGATGCTTGCTTTTCTTGCCTCTTGTCGTGTTGCTGGATTTCTTACTGCTTCATCTGCTGTCTTACTTGGATGCATGACTGACTGCCTCAACGGCTAGACAAGCCGTGGCATTTGCATGCAGCAGCGGTTCCTTGATCAACGCAAGTACTCACAGGCATTCATTGACTCACATACACAGAGCATCCCATACAAACCGGTTCACACCAGCATCCTCACTTCTGAGTCTGTTTGTCCAAAAATTCCCCAACAAGGGCTGATTTCATTAAAGGCGTTGATCCTCTTCCTCTGGCTAACTAAATCTCCCTCCGCCCCCTCCATCATTACATCGTGTCAAGCAGACCGAAACCGCATCCCCGTCTCTTTACAAAAGACCAATGGCCGCAACACCGGCAACCAGGCAAGATCCGAGAATGGCAACTCCGGTGGGAGCGGCGCCGTTGGTGGTAAAGGTGCTGGTAGGGCGGGCGCCGGTGACGGTGCCGTTGCGGCCAGGGGTGCCGGTGGTCAGGCCCTGAGAAGCAGTGGCCGTGGCCGTGGACGAGGAAGACGAGGACGAGCCGGCGGCGCTCGACTGCACGGGGGGGACGGCCGTGGTGGAAGAAGAGCTGCCAGCCTCGGACGCCGTCTCGGACACGGACGTCTCAAAGGTCGTGGCCGGGGCAGCGGTGGGCTGCGTCGTCACCTGGGCCTCGGCGGCGGTGGTGGACACGCTGCCGGACGAGCCCGTGGCCGTGGCCTGGCCCGCGGCGGCGGCGGCGGCGTTGGTGTGCAGGTCCAGGTAGCTGGGCGAGTACGTCGCGGTGCCCGAGTACAGCGGGCAGCCGGGCACGTCCGTCTTGGGGGGAGCCCGGCCGCCGCCGCAGTCGAGGAAGTCGCACAGCTCGCCGGAGCCGGGCACGTACCAGATGCGGCTGCCGTACGCCTCGTAGGCGGGACGGCCGCTGGGCATCACGACGACGTCGGTGTAGGTGCAGCCGGCGAGGTCGGTCTTGGCCAGGGCGGACGAGGCCAGCAGGAGGGTCGCGACGAGGGATCGAACGGCCATTTTGGAAGGTTTTGGATTTGGGGACTTGAGTCGAAATTCGAAAGAATGGACGATCACGGGAAGCGATCTTTGCGGATTTGAGCGAGCGACTGGCAACGAGCGAAGTTGTCTTTACACGAAAAGAAAGGGAGAAGCCAGAGTCCGCGTCCTCCCACGGCGACGGGCGCCCTTTTTCTATTTCTGCAAGCTACTATACGACCATGAGCCGATTCCTTGGTGGCTCTAGTTTGTCCGTCGCCTCCGGGTATTCCCAAGATGAGACGCCACTAATTCGAGTCCCGTTCAGGCAATCGCCGAGCCACAGGGGGCTTCTAGACTCAGTCTGGCCTTCTAATGGGCCTGCTTTGCCGCCTGAAGTACGAAGTGTCGGACTCCTGGATGGAAGTTGAAAGGCTTGTTTGCTTTTATGACAGGTGAGTTGTACTGCTACTGGCAAACCATCATCCATCAGTTGTGACCCCTATTCTTTTCTGTAAGTTCTTGTTCCTATGGTCGTGCCGCGAGCTGAAAGGACAACTTCGCGTCCTTTTTTGCCACTTGCTCTTTGACGCTATCCCATCGCCACTTGTAGTTCTTGACCATCGTCTGAAACTTCACAAAAGGCCATAGAGTTAAAAACACGTCCCATAATAGGCCCCGGGTGCGAAGTAATACGAAGCAAGACAGCAAGCCGAAGGAAAAAACTTGGAATACCCGGGTGGAGCGATGGGATGAGACCCTAAAACCCGGAGCTACAGTAGCACCAATTGGATCTCATAAGCTATCAAGCCCTTTCTGTCCGAACCTATTTGTCTAAAATTAGACTCGTAGGATAACCTCACTCAAGCTTGCATATACTGAGAAGGTAGGGAAAGCATTCGATTTGATAGTCACTTTGTATGATCATGTTTGTCACGAAAGTAGAACTGAAGCGCGATCAGCCTCACATTAGCACATGTGCTTTTTTTCGCCTTCTCAGCTGGGCGAGTCATGGGGCCCCTCCCTTTGCTTTTCAAACACTAGGGCCGTATCACCGCATGAATGGAGACCCGAAACCCCTGTCCGGAACCTCTCGGCAGATGCAGGTGATTTGATGACAAAGTCATCTAGTACATATGCATAAACAAACGAGTGAGGAAATTTGGGCCGGATAGGCAAAAGAGTTCCTCCTGCTTGTGTTTTGGTGCTGGAAAACTGGTTGATGGGATCGTGGTAGATGAGTGGCAGATCGTCGAATTGGACGGTAAGATGATTGCGAAGAGTCCTTTTTCATGTAGTCCGTTTCTCGGGTGCAGTAATGACAATGTATGTATCTCAAGTAGTCTTATATGTAAGGGGTCGGGTATATAAGGTGACGATGGACAACAAGGTTGGCGTGTATGTTTTGCTCTGCAACAGCATGCTTGGAAACGAGATGCATCCGAAAGACGAACATGAATAAATCAAGCCCCAATATACCTCGCACAACAGGAATTGCAACAAGAATGCAAACAGGGGATATCACAACTCGAAAACAAAATCGCCTACAAAATCATCTTTGCAACCTTCAATGCTTCTCCTCCTCCTCCTCCTCCATCACAGCTCAGTTATAACTTCCGGGCGCGGGCCCGAAATACTGCCCTTCGGGCAACGTCTTGAGAACGCAGTTGTGGTCCTCGCATCCCATGCTCACCACCTCGTTCCCCCACCAGTCGAGCGTGATGCCCTGGTACGTGACGCCAAAGAACTGGACAATCGCTGAAATGGCGATGCCCGCAGAAAATGCGGCAGACAGGACAAAGTTATACTGGGGATTGTTTAGTCAATCTGTGCGATCAAGCATGGGGGGGGGGGGGGGGGCCACTGTCTTGCTTACCTTGGACCACAAGGCCAAGAACCTGCCCTTGATATAAACCCACGAGAACAGCGCCACAGGCACCGCAGGGAGCAGGTAAGTCATGTTGTACGGAGCCCACAAGATGCCACCGTTCAACAGGGCGACGGGATGCGTCGCGCGCAGCACCCGGTTCCTGGGAAAGTACCTGCCGAGAAGCCAGAACATCACCACCACGGCCACACCGAGCGGGAACCCGAGCAGCGTCGCCGAGTACTGGCCGCCCACGCCCCAGATCTTCTTCGGCCCGACGGTGCCCCAGAGGACGGCGGCGGTGAAGAAGGTGTTCTCGCCGGGACACGTGAACCGGAAGGGCGCGTCCGGGGTGCAGACGTCCTTTAGGTGCACCTGGTACGAGACGATGCTGACGCAGACAAACGTCGAGACCAGCGTCGGCACCATCTGCGCGCAAAAGGTGATCCTGGGCGGGATCTTGACGTAGTGCGCAATCTTGAGGTCGTTGGAAAAGGACAAGGCGTGGGAGCAAGTCACGTAGCCGTACGTCTTGAAGAAGCACATGGCGAGGGCGTTGCCTTCCACAAACGACCCCCCGATAAACTCGGCCAACACGTTGAGCGTCACCTCAATGCCCGTCATGGCGTAGATGATTCCCGTCGGGATCATGAAAATCAGACACAGGGCGATGCCGTAGAAGACAACGCCGGGGCTGGTGTTCGTTGGCCAGGACGCAATCGCCGCGCAGCCGAGCGCAACGCTCACAACAAGCACGAGCATGTACCACCACTCCGGCACTTCCCGATACTTCTTCATCAGACGGTTATGCACATCCAGCACCTGTCCGCTCTCCACCTCTGCCTTCTTCGAGGGGCGGAAGCTGTTGACAAGGTCTTTGAACCCCATGCTGATTTCCAATCTGTGGTAGAGGAAGCCGTATGTCAAAGCAGCAGTATATATGCTGAAAAAGAACATGTAATTAACCACGTTGGCAGCCGAGAGATATGGCGGCGAATAGGCTTGATATTTGTCCCTATCGATGATGCCCCTATCGTCGAGAATCGCAGTGACGTTGTAGCGCTTGCCAAAGTGATCGTAGGGCTGGTTGGAGTTGATCGGCAGATAGGCAGTGTAATACGTGTTAGTGTAATAGACTGTGATGATAATCACCGAGGTCAAGAGCATGCCGACGAACAGGTTGATCGTACTGAACAGCGGCACCATGAGGGGGTCGAGGTTGTAGGTCAGCACGTTCCAGTCAAAGGTAGGCAGCGGGTTGATGCCGAGGCCGTTGTTTGAGCCCGTGATGTGAGTCAAGCTGGCATTGTTCGGTGCGATCCAGGTCATCCAGCTAAAGATGCCCAGCGCTTGAAATATGTAATTGGGGAACCAAAAGTAGACGAACATGAGCGAGAAGGCGTAGAAGAAGAATTTGAATCGGGACATGCGCCACACCTTGCCAAACGGACCCAAAGCCGGAGAGTTGCCCTCCGTATGAAAAGCACTATTCAGCGCAATAGTGACGAGAGCCTGCGGCCAGACACAGTATGATGGGTAGACGAGGAACCTGCGGCAGATGCCGGCAAGGCTGTAGCCGATAAAGTTGCTCGACAGGGCAATCAGGATCTGGTAACCAAAGTTAATCGCCCACCGCTGGTTGAAGAATTGTGGGAGAAACTGGATCCAGATAATGTACTGGGTATACGGCGTGCTCTTTGCAATGCTGGCCATCAGCGTGATGAGCATATGCTCCTTTCGATTGAAAGGGCCAGGGTTCAAGCTGTGCCGGACACCAAACAGCGTGATGCCCACATCGGGCAGCCACCACTCCATCATCTTCCCTAGAGGATAGGCCAGTAGCTGAGGGACGTTGGACGTAACGGCGATGGCCGGCTGGCGAATGCTGAAGAAGCCGTTGATGAAGGCAATGGCACCGGAAAACAAGATGCCCAGGACCCAGGCTCGAATGGTTGAACACGGCATGGTAGGGTCGTCGTGGGGGGAAACGACGCTTCGGACCTCTGCATAGGGGCTGTTGGTGACGACGAGTGCGGCCTGGATTTTCATCTCGGATATTTGCCGCTCATACTTGGCAGGCTCCCTTGAGATGTCCTCGTCATCTACAGCCTATGTGTTAGAGCATGGGTGGTTTGATGAAGTTGAGAAAGCTCCAGCAACCTACTCAGGAAGTTCTCGATTCTCTCAATGACGTCCAAGGGGAAGTTGGGATCTCTCTTATGGAGCCGATGAAATGTGGTCAGGAGCTAGGTAGGCAGTGAGCACCTGGTCAACATCTCTGAAAGAGCCGCAGTGGATATCATGAGGACCTACACTTCTCACTTCGTCAAGAGAGTAAGTTGCTGCAAGCTCCTTGGCCTCTTGCAGGTCATCCTCCGTCACGTGGAGGTCTCTCTCTGCAGCCACATCCTCCCCTGCGAACTGAGGCACCTCGCTGGTTTCGTTGTGAGTCTATCAAAGTCTGAGTGTCAGCCACACATCACAGAAATAATACCCACGCATCTGAGACACGCACGCTGGTCTTCTTCCTCCCAAGGACACCACCCGTGGTACCCGCGACAGGTCTCTCAGCTTGCTCAGACATGACTGCAGGCTCTGAGCTTCCAATGCCTCTCCCGTGTTCTGCCCCGGCCCAACAACAGACGAATTGTTGCACCTCAGATGGACAGGAGGAAAAAATGAGTGCACGATGGAGGGCAAAAGAGTACAGGAAATCCCGGGGAACGAGCAGGATTTATGCCTTTTCTTGTCGCACAAGCTGGCCTCTGCTGTTGGGTCTGAGACAAGAGTTAGAGTTCGGGTTGAAGCTCAGCTGTGCTTAGCACAAAAGCTTCTGATGGAGCCCCGAGAGGGACTGATAAGGTGCGGTGCGCTGGGCAAGAGCCTGTTGCGAAGTGGCTGCTCAGTCAGTCCATGTACATATCAGACAGACAGATAAGGTAGCCATGCTACCATTGAGACTGCAAGCAATGCATGCCGGAGCCAGAAGAGGTTGATCCTCCAGCTTCAGCCAGGACCTTTTGTCGTGTGTGAGCACCTGGCATCATCTTGTCATATCCTGCATGGGTCTGCCAAGGGCCTCGACTTTGCGTGCGTGCGTCAAGGCCAGGACCAACGAATCTTGAGAATCACAGGCGGATCATACCTTACTTTCCAGATGGCCTTTGTACTACTGTATCCAAATTGGGGTCCATAACACGGAGCTGGATTCCCGTTGTCCCTCCTCAAACCTACAAAATGCCAAGGGATATGGGGTACAACATAGGTATATGACACCAAGTATCGTGCCACGGAGTTGATGTATCAGGTTCCAGAGGAGACTTTGGCGGAACTCGCCGGCTGCGTGCCTCCAAGCCTTCCACCGGCAACGGCCCTCCACGACCATGCTCGTTCGTAGTTCTGGCGATCTGATCAAGTATCTCAAGGTCGGGAAGCCCACTTGGTGCGAGATGCGGAACGGCAAGATGCAGCCACAGATCGTCGAGGCCAACCAAGTGCGCCGACTAACGCCGAACACCAGCCGTCCTTCGTCCCTCGACCAAACTTGCCATGAACTCGCCGTTGTACAGTAGCACAGCCCAAGGATAGCAGCATCCTCGCTCCACCTTTTGGGAGATTTTGTGAGACACCAGTCCGCCGGAAAGAGGCAGGGCCAAGCACCGATCCCGGGAGTCCTCACAGAGGCAACATTGTCAAAGAGAAGGAACTTTTGCGCTGTGATTGATTCCCCAAGGAGGAAAAAGGCAGTGTAGCCGCCGCCAATTCGCGATCCAGGAGATATAGATGCCTTACACGAGATGCCGCCTCTCTTTGAACAGTGGGAAGCGATAGATAGTCCTGCATGTTGTGGAAAGAGTTATGGCCGGTCCCGAGCCTGGCCAAGGCGTTGATTACGTCCCCCGCGGTTGGTCTCGACCACCAGGTGGTGTCATCCGCTTCGGCGATTTGAGGTTTGCCACCCCCAGAATCTGAGCGGATCTTGTGCTTTGCCGTCGGCGGTAGTAGTAGTCTGTGTTAGATGGGCTGGGCTGCTTCGCGGGAGGAATGTATGCAAGGGATCGAGGGCCTCATCTTGACGAGTCACTTGCTTATGGTGAATGAGCGGGTGGGTTGATAGTTGGTACGTTGGTGCTGATATCAGCGGTTAGCTTCGATACTTGTTGCTCGAAGCCATGGGAGCGTGAAGCTTCGAAGGGGCATCTGAGGATGCTGTCCTTGTCCTCATCCGGCAACTTCTCAAGTCTCGCAAGATCAAAATGACAAGAACAAGATCGTGAACCTTATCTTATCATCCGGAAACAAACTGTGGTCTGTGCGCCTACTACTTATCAGCCATGGCGCGCTGACCAGGTTCTCCGCTGGTATCTCACAAAGCCTACCTGGCAGTACCACCGCGTAAATCGAATAAAGGATTACAAACAGAGTACCATTACTGCTGCTAAAGTTCAAACGGTCAACCACGTCTTACCTGAGAAAGTCAATTCAACTGATTAACACGACATCTTCATTCCCTGTTCAATTAGCCACGGAGCATACTGCAGGATCTTCCAGCGTCGTTATATCTTCTCATCGGACCACCTTGTGACGATGCAAGTTGTTCCCCGCCAGTGACATGCAAGTGCTAAAGTATCAGGTACTAACGTGCCCAGCATCAGCTCAAGACTACCCTATCGGTTGGCAAGCCGCAGCCGCGTATCACGCAGGCCTTCGTGGGGTCGTGTTCCGGCCAGAGTATGGACGTTCCTTGCTCATAGATGCCTCACTAAGCAGTTGATTAGAGTTATAGTGAGTTCTCTCGAATCGAGGTGGTAGCTCACTCGAGAGACCTAGACACAGCTCAATCCTTTCAATCTACTAGTATTACTAGGTACACTCTACATATATCAACGGCGTCATGTCCAATTGCTGCGGAATTCAATGGAATCACAATGTCAGAGGTAACGAGAGCTGGATAGTATCTTGTATGATTATTTATCATCTATAAACTTAGCGCATCGTAAAGCACTGGAAATGCAGCTGGTCCTGTGTATATGCCACCGGCTTGACATGGCCACGGTTGTCAACATGTTGGGTGTTCCCGCTCATTTTCAGAAGCATCACAGAACATGGAACCGCAGACGGATAGTCAAGTCAAACAATGAGCATATACTATAGCTTGAGATAAGAAACAAACAATGCACCAGGTAGGTGATGATACACGCGAACCATCTTCCCTCGGAAACCGTTTTAGTCAAACAATATAGCGAAAAGGAAAGTGAAACAACTTCCGTCTGAACAACACATGATGCTTTTTACTCCGTCAATACACCAGATTGCGACAGTGCAATCCTCTTCCAGTGATCACGCTCAGCCTCGAGCTTCGCAATACGGTCTTCCAGCTCTTCAAATCGCTGAGCTTTCCGCTCACGCGACTTCCGAGCGGCCAACGTATTGCGAGCTCGCTTCATGGCCACAGTGTCGTTGGCGTCTTCAACAATGATGGGAGGCAGGGGCTTGTCTCGGCGGCGAGAGTTGACACCAGAGACGGAAGAGTGTCGGGTGCTGCCCGTGGGAGAGCCACTCGACGGCTTCTTCTTGCCGCTGCCACTGCCACTGCCAGATGAAGATGATCGGTACATGGGCTCTGATTTCAGAGGCTTCTGAGCGGGCGACTCGCTTGGGTTGACAAGCTCGTGGCTGGCTGTATCAGAAGGGAACAAGGGATACCAGGGGTCGCTAGGACCGTTATCAAATTCGGCAGTGCCAAAGTTGGGAGAGACGTCGAACGAATCAAAGTCGGGACTGCCATTGTACAGCGAAGGAGAAGTCAAGGCAGTCAGGGCCGCAGAGTTGGGCGCCGACATGAAGGGCTCTTGGACCAAAAGATCCTGGGGGGACACGGTGCCAAGGTTTGACGCTGCGCTCGAGGCGCCGCTGCTAAAGTCAAAGCTGGAAGCGACAGCCGGAGAAGAGAAGGCCGTGGAGGCACCTCCTTCGAAGACCGTAAAGTCGTCCAAATCGACGTCTGTTGAAGGGTATGAGCAAGGGTGATCAGGAGGAGACGAGTCAGAAGAGTTGCACAAACCTGCAGCGTTCATCATCTTGGCGGTTTGTGTCAGGTTACCAGTGTCGGGATGGAACAAGGGGACTGGTGGCCGCGCAGTGCGAGAAGACCGATTCAATGAGACAGTTGAAGAGGGAGCCGAGGATGCGTAGAACTGATTCGATAAACGATTGCCGTATGCAGAAGACAATGCTGGGTGCCCGATAGCCTGGAGAATCTGGGCCACTCGTTGGTTCTGGACTGCGGGTGAAGCGTGCTTCTCGCGACGGGAGTGACAAGAGTGACGACGTTGGCTAGGTACTGCAATGCGACTATTATGATGTTGACGAGGCGGCGGGTTGTCGAACAGAACAAAGTCCTGCTGAGGGCTTTCGACGGGGTTCAGGGGCAGATGCTCGGATGGTGCCGGCAGGGCGGAAGCTGAGTTGGGAAGCCATGTTGACTGGGGATCCGTGGTGAAGACTGAAAAGTCTTGTGAAGAAATGTTGGCGTGGAGAGAACTCGTGCTGATGCTATTCAAAGCAGGGCTGAAGTTCAGGTCGACCGAATGGTGAGCTGAACGAGAAGATTGAGTGGGGAGAAAGTTGTTAATGTCCTGGGACTGAATTTTGACGGAGGGGGAAGAAACGCTCTGGAAGAGGTTTGTTTAGATCATCTTGAAGGCAGCCTGAGGCTTCGAATGCTGTATGTATTGTATGATAGGGACGTTTGGGGGTGGAGGAGAAGAAAAAAAAAAATAGAAGGGGACAAAAAAGAGGCGTGGCCGTGGCTTGTTATGTATTTCTCAGGCAGCAACTTTTGGTGGTCGCGCACGAGCGGGTACGTACCCGGCCAGCGCGGGCGGCGGTACAAGGCGAGGGCTCTGGAGGCTTGCGCAGCCCTAACAGCGCACGGCGCCAGGCAGCCCGCCAGGCTGTTAGGCACCCGCCGGGCGGACCACTGGCGGCCGTGTACTCGCACGTCGCAGGCGCTGCAGCAATTGGCAAGCCAGAAGCGCGCCCTTGCCAGCAGTTGTGGCCCCGCCGGTGAGTCACACTTTTCAGCGCCATGCCGCTTTAGGCCTGGCCGGGAGAGCGCCAGCCCCAGTCGGTGCCACCAGGCCTTTGGCGGCTTTCCCCAGCCGATCCAGGTTGATTACGGCGAGGAGCGTCACAGTGCCTCCGGTACGGTGCAGTCCAACGCCTCTTCCTGTGGCATCACGATGCCGCTGTGCCGGCAGTCGGTTGAGCAGACAGGGCGAGTGCTGTAAGTCGCGTATTGAATCCAGAGCCCGGATAACTCACGGGACACGTCAATACCAACTCCGTATGTGAACACCTTTGCGGAGCACTGCGCAGAAACAGAACAGAAGGGGAAAGGGCCTCGTCCGGCTATCGAGTCGAATACTCCATACTGGATGATTCTTTGGTGTTGTGTGTGGATTAGCAATCCATCATCTGCTTGTGCCGCTGCTCGCTACCAGCCTCTAGCCTCGATTAGCTCCAAAGCCAGGCAGGGTGCGAATCCTCCTCCAAAGTGCCCCGTCCGGACCAAGCCTTGCTGCACAGTATCACTCGTGATACTACCTCCGTACTCCACGCTGGACATGTTCCTCCTGCGCGGCGCGGCTTGGTTGCGACAGCATCTCGGCGGGATGTGCTTCCCGTGATAATGTTAACACGTCAACCACATCAATTTCAGCTTCCAGCACACGTTACACGCGTCGTATTACCGACGATGGCGTGCAATTTTACGTTGACATGGGGAAAGCCCATCCGAAAGCCCAACACTGAGGCGCAGAGAATACAGGTCTCATCTTACCCGCTGCGGCTGGAACTTGGTCCAAGGATACATAACTGAGTAGTAAGGAATGCGCACAGTAAGATTAAGAACCTGTCCGCTTTGAAAGACCTCCCGAGCCTCAGTAAGCAAATCTCCAGAAGAGACGACGTTCGCCTGCCCGTTCGAGCAAGACGCAGCGCATCACCAAAAACCGGCTTCGCGGTGCAACCCCCGGACAATGGAAGAAGATCCTCTTGTCGTGCCAATGCAGCCCTTCGGAGCCCGCGATGCACATGCTCTTGCAAACGTAGCCTCGCACACGCTGGCCAACGGGCCTAGAAGAAAGCGCACGCAAGCAAGTGACGACGGCACACGGGACAACCAGGCTTTGCAGGCTCAATCAAAAGGGAACAACAGGCCGTCACATGGAGAAACCGCCCGCAAAAGGCCTCAATCTGAAATTACTCCGTACGGATTGTCCCCTCCACCAACTGTGCGGCTGGCTGGAATGCCTCATTTTCTGTTCCTGGCTGTTATACGACGACAATACGACACCACGCCTGGCTCTCTCTAGACCCTGGTGGCGCTTCCTCCTTACTTGGACAGGATAGTCCAACAGTCAACGTGCTACGTACTCGTACATGCGTAATCTTTCTTTCTTGTCTGTCTCGTTGCTGGAAACAGGACACGATGTCCTTCGTTTTCATCCTTCTTTTGTCAATTCGTCGCGGGCACCATGAAGTCCTCCCATTGGCTCACTGCATCCCGTCTGCCATCCAACTCGCCGCAACCAATCAGCAAGGCTGGGCTGGACGAGGGGGTTTTCCCAGAGGACAGAATTGCAGGAAGATTGACCAGAAAAGGCCTCTTCTGCCGTTATTACCAGCCCGCGGTGGAGGACATTGACCCGTGTGGCTGAAGCCAAGGCGCGCTGCTTTCAACGCTATTGCATGGCTAGGAGGCTCTGGTTGGACGTGCCTGGTTCTGTCGTGGCTCAAGTTGCAGCAGCGCTGGTTCAATAAGTCAACAATGCAGAGCCGCCCAGCACCACCGTGAGCCCCGAATCGAATGCGACCGAGCGATTGGCACCAAGTCCAAAGTCCTGCTATTCCGCACTCCGCAGTGGTACTATCGCCGACTGCCGTTTGTACGGAGTACGAGTACCACTACCGATAGCAGCAGGTCCTGTAGGACCACTCGTTTTCATAGGGCGTCCAGGAAGCTGTCGGCCTGGCGCTTCGCCCGCCTCTCCCCCATGTCCTTGCGGCGCTGCTCGATCTCGCGCCGTCGTGCAGCTCGCTGCTCCTCGCGCTGTTTGCGCAGCTCCTCGGTCTTGAGCCTCTCCTCTTCTAGAGACTTCATCTCCTGCGTCCGCGTCTCCTCGTCCTTGCTGAACTTGTAGAACCCGACGCCCTTGGTCCGGATCTCGTGGTCGGCATCGTAGTGCTTCAGCTCGGGCGGCGTTGCGCTCCTGTCCCGCTTGCGCGCGAGCTCCTCCATCTTGTCCGGGTCATCCGGCACGAACGCCATCGCTTGGATTGCGTCGCCGTATATGAGCTTGCTGGGGGCGCTCGGCCGGGCGGACATGCGCTCCAGCTCCTCGGCGCCCAGCAGCCCTCTCCGTATGCGACGCTCCATGCGTTCCTTTTCCGCCCGCGTGCTTCGCCGCGTACGCCCAAACTCGTCCTCCCATTCAACAATTTCCTCGTCGCCGCTGCCATTCGCATCCTCGTCCGAGCTGGACGTCTCGTAGTCGTCGTTGCCCTCCGTCGTCTCGGCCCACTTGCGGTCAAAGTCCACCAACGGCGCCGCCTCGTTCTCCTTGGGCACGTAATCTCCGCGCTTCATCGCGGCGTAAAGCCGTGCCTTGCTCTCCATTTTGCGCTTTGCGCGCTCGAGTTCCCGCGTCTCATCTTCCGTCCCGGCCACCTCTTTGAGCACCAGCTTTTCTGACTTGGCATCCTTCTCCTTGCCGCTGGTTGTGGTCTTTTTGGGCTTGCTTGTGTTGCGAAATATGTCGTCCTTGGCTTGTTTCGAGGGCCTCGCGCGCCCAGTGGTCGTTGACGTGGATCCCTGGGCGGCAGAAGTTGATATGAGTGATGTGAGCTGGGCTGTAAAATCCAACGAAGAAGAGATGGCCTCTTTCTTGTGTCGCTTTTGCGGCCTCTGGCCGTAGAGATCTGGATCTTGTGGCATGTTGTGATGTCTTCCTGCGTGTCCGTGTCTGCGTGTGGCTCTCTAGCGTGCACTCTCCAGGTCGAGTGTAATCGCTTTCGAGCAGTGAGACTTCTTCAGAGCAAAGAGTTACCCAAGTAGGTAGCAAGGCGTATCGCGTAGAGACTAACTTGAAGGTTGCCGTCTGATCATTAAAAGAGTACAAACTTTGATATTGCCTCCGTGCCACTGACAAGCTGGACGTCACTGTATCTTTGATGACTAAGCAGATTCGCCTTGAACACCGCTTCGTCTCTGGCACGAGTGACAGCTCAGCTTGTGGTTCAGGCACGACATCTTGAATGGCAAAGGGGAATGACAGGACGTGAGTCTACATTTTCCAACTACAGATTACAGGTTACCAATATTTTCGTTATAGAACCCAGAAGCATCAGACCTATTACACAGGCCATGTAGCTTCAAGTTTGGTGAATACGGTAAACATTTCGGACCAATCCAATGCTCTCTGACGAAGCTTTGCCCCAAGCCCTTTGAACCGGATGAGTTTTGGCTCGACTCCAGGGTTCGGGGAATTGGTGTAGGGGTATCACGTTTGCTTTGCATTTGTTCAGTCTGAGTGCAAGTCTGTAAAAGGTCAGGGGTTCAAATCCCTTATTCTCCAGACTTTTTTTGCTCCTCCGGATGTCCTGGCATTGCCTTTTGCTTCTTCTCAAGGAAGAGGGCAACCATTTCTGCCCACTTGCGTTTCTTCGCCATTGTTAGATGGACTTGAACCCCGAGGCGGCATATTAAGAGAACGCTTCTTCCGAAGCAAAGCGTCACCAGCACAAGGTTCCATTGCGTCAACACAACACATGCCAATGCTGTGGTAGCTGCAACTACTACATACTATGGACAACTGCACAGAAATAACCAGTGATTCGTCCGCGAACAGTTGATGCTACAGCCGTCATGCTGGGCCATTGGCCTGTGCTAGCTTCAGCATAAGCTCTGCGAACCCCACCATCAAGCACACCTATGTACTACTATCACCCCGCTATCGGACTTGAAACTCATCATCTTCCCCCTCGAGCTCTTTTCGCAGCATTCGTCCACTGTCAAGATAAAATGTCTGCCGTGAATCAGGTTTACATCGCCGTCATTGGTACGTGCCCCTATGAGACGCTGGATTGATCAATTGACTCAAGTAACCAACAATTATACATTAGGCGCCGGTGGCGTCGGCAAATGCTTTCTCAACCAGTTGCAAGGCCTCGCTGCTCGCAGGCCGTCTCCCAAGCTGAGCCTCTGCTACATCTCGACAAGTCGCAAGGCTCTGTACAACGTCGACTACTCCCCCGTCAGCCTCGAAGGCGTCACCGAAAGCCTCGCTGCCTCTACACAGGCCCCTCCTCCTCTGCCGCAGGTGATTGATTATCTGGCCGCCGCACCCGCCAAGGTGGTCTTGATCGACAACACGAGTTCCCAGGATGTCGCCGATGCCTATCCCCTGGCCTTGAGCCGAGGCCTCAGCATCGTGACGCCCAACAAGAAGGCGTTTTCCGGTTCGTATCAGCTCTGGCAAAATATTTTCACGGCTGCGGCAACTTCTGGCGCCAAGGTATACCACGAGTCGTCGGTCGGCGCTGGTCTGCCAGTCATCTCCACACTGAAGGATTTGGTTGAGACCGGGGACAATGTTACCAAGATCGAGGGTGTCTTCAGTGGCACCATGTCCTTCCTCTTTAACTCTTTCGCGCCGACTGAGGGTCAGGGTGGCAAGTGGTCGGAGGAGGTGAAGAAAGCAAAGGCCCTCGGCTATACCGAGCCGGATCCGAGAGATGACCTCAACGGCCTCGACGTCGCCCGTAAGCTGACTATTTTGGCCCGCCTGGCTGGCTTGCCCGTCGAATCGCCAACGTCTTTCCCTGTTCAGAGCCTTATCCCTAAGGAGCTCGAGGCTTGTTCGAGCGGAGACGAATTCCTCGACAAGCTGCCCGCTTTCGACCAGCAGATGGAGGACATCAAAGCTGCTGCGGAAAAGGCTGGAAAGGTTGTTCGATTTGTCGGCAGCATTGACGTGGGTACTCAGCAGGTCCAGGTTGGACTGCAGCAGTTCGATCGCTCGCATCCAATTGCCGCCCTCAAGGGCAGCGACAACATCATCAGCTTCTATACTGCGCGGTATGGTAGCAATCCTCTGATCATTCAGGGCGCGGGTGCCGGCGGAGAGGTGACGGCTATGGGTGTGACGGGAGACCTTATCAAGGTGCTTTCGCAAATCGCTTAGAATATATATCCAGGATATCTTTGTGCTTTGTCAAGAATATGCCCAATGAAAGAGGCACGCCCAATCGCAGAATTCTCGATCGCTTATCGTCGCACCGCCGGTGGCGCGTGTTGCTCGGAACTAGTAGTTGTCGCCTTGGTGGTGATGTTTGTTGTCGTTGTATCGGCTCTCGCGGGGATCTGCGCCTCTTGCGTCGAGATGCAGTACGTTCTCCAGACCCATAACAGGATGTCGAAAATGACGCAAAGAACAAAGGGAACGCTGAAGAAGAGGCCCAAAGCCAGCTATTCCAGAGGGTCAGAGCGAGACGAGAAGCAGAGACGTCCATCAAACCAGCACTCACGCTAATCCACGATATCGTGCTGACGAGAAAAGCAGAACCGGGAAATGAGAGGAATGCGAAAATGCCAGAGGCACCCCCAAGCGAAACAGACATGGCGCACAGCTCTCGAGGAATCAGTCGTGGTGGTGAAAGGGAGACAAGAGCCCTCCTTGTGTGCTTGCGAAGACAGCAAAGACAATGGGAAGCTCAGGAGCTGTCTCAAGTTGCTGCTTTTAGCTGGTAAATTTTAGGCCGGTCTGCGCAAGGTGCTGTCGCGATGTCCAGGGGTCGGAATTGAACATTCCAGCGATTGGCGATCCTTCGTACTCGGTACTTGAGGCCTCGTCCCGGACAGCTTTCCAGGAGCTCCGGTCTCACCACTGGATCCCGCCACGCTAAAGCACGATTACCTCAGACTGTCACTCAGTGAGCTGACATTCGTGATAAGTGGACGGTTGTGCGCTCGTCTTGAGTTGTTGATACGAGAAAGCACAGGTTATTGACAGATGATCCAGGTGCCGTGCCTCGGTACGGCCGTCGCTGGTACCTGGTTTGAGAGCTGAAACTGTTTGGGGGGTGGGTAGGTAGTATTGCCGCTAGACCCAATCCAGGTTTGTGCCATCAAGCGCATGCTACTCTGTGATACTGACCGCTTTCCTGTTTTGTCTTACCAAACTTTCCTCAGTCGCCAAGTCAGATAGTATCGACTTCTCATCATCTACCGCTCCTCAAAACTCATTCAGAAGTACTGTCAAAGAGGCCGGATTCAAACAATGGGAAATCAAGCCAATAAGAAAGAGAGGCGAGATCGATTCAGGGAGAGAAGAGGCCAAGATGGCGTCGTTTTGCTGCCCCGGAAAAAGCTCTACCGCCAGCGAGCTCATGCAAATCCTTTCTCAGACCATCTATTAGAATAGTGAGTCTGCCTCAGTTTGGAGACTTGCTTCCGTCTACTGACTGTTTGAAAGCCCAATCTCGCCTGAGCATATGGATTGGTCGTCGTATTACCCTGCTTTCGTGGATGAAGAAGCGCCAAAGGAGGAATCTAAGCCTCCACGCATGAAGCAGGATGTTGAGGTTGTCGACATTGGATGTGGCTTTGGAGGTCTGCTCGTCGGTCTCGCTCCAGTTCTACCGGACAAGCTCATTCTCGGTGCGCCATTGCCCTTCTGCAGCCATGGGATCAAAAGCCTGGAAACTAATGTCACGTCCTAGGTCTGGAAATCCGCACCACAGTAACACAGTTTGTGCAGGAGAGGATATGGGCATTACGCGCACAAAACGAAGGCAAGCTATATCAAAATGCGGCTTGCATACGCGCAAACACGATGAAGTTCCTGCCCAACTTCTTCAAGAAGAGCCAGCTGAGCAAGATATTCATATGCTTTCCGGATCCGCACTTCAAGACGAAAAAGCACAAGGCACGGATCGTTTCAACAACTCTCAACTCCGAGTACGCTTACGCCCTACGTCCCGGCGGCATCATCTATACAATCACCGACGTCGAAGCGCTGCACGAGTGGATGGTAGAGCATCTTGACGCGCACCCTTCCTTTGAGCGTGTTAGCAAAGAGGAGGAGGAGAGTGACGAGTGCGTCAAGATTATGCTGAGCGAGACGGAGGAAGGCAAGAAGGTGGAGCGGAACAAGGGACATAAATTCGTAGCCCTATTCCGCCGTATGGAAGATCCTCCGTGGTAATGAGGGTGTTTGAGGTAGGTCAAATGAATAGTCGTATACCCTGTTGGACCACATTGATCCATTTGGATGATGACACAGGGGGATCAAAAATGTCAGTATTTGTAGTCGCACATTATTAGCACGCAATTGCGCATCAAGTTCTGTATCTCAGTACTTGTTTGGTGAATTTTGGTGGAGCTGTACCCCATATGTGAGCAATACGGAACAAATCATAGGTATGGCAATGATAAAATCAGGTGCTATTTAAATCATGTGAAGTGGCATTTCGCGCTTGTATCTCGCTGTTCATGTTCATGCAGGAGGCCTTGCCTTATCATTCACGGCTCCCTTCTGCAAGACTGAATGGAGTGCTTGCAGGTGCTACGTAATGGTGGGCCGGCCACTAATCGATAACGGCTGGGGGGTTGCAACCGCACCCGCTTGGAGCATCGCAGTCGCAAAGCTCCAGCCCCATACATGCCGCCGCCGCTTCCTCGCTCACCGCGTCTTTCAACAATGATGCTCAGCAGGCGACTATGGCCCTGAAGCGAAGAGATGCAGTGCTTGCTGGAGTGGCCTACTTCATCGCCTGGGGCTACGCCGTCAGCTGCTTCTCGGCGCTGCGCTGGGTGGGATATGCCTTCGTGGGCGGTATCGTCATCAGCTTGCTCTCGCTTATCGCGGCTCTCGTCCTGACCACACAGCACCCTCACAGCGATCGACAGCCACGGCCAACCAGGGTTTCGTTTCTCAGCTCGCAGAGATGGCGCGCCGAAGCAGAAGCACTGCGACAACGACAAGCGTACCACAGGGAGCCCCTCGACCCGAGCTTTCCTCAGGCGTCCCGAGCTCTCGACGAGCTCCTGGAGCTGATCCTCCGCGACTTTGTCCGCTCATGGTACTCTCACATCAGCCAGAACCCGATATTCGAAAACGAGGTGGACAAGGCCATTCGGCAGGCACTCCTCAGCCTGGTGGATTCGCTGCGCAACAAGGACCTTGCTGATGTCGTCACGAGCCGTTTTGTGCCCATTCTGACGGCCCATTTCCACGACTTCTACGAGGCAGAGAAAGCCGTGCGAGGAAGGAAGCTGAACCGATCCGTCACCGAGTCTGAAGAGCTTGATCTTGCCATTGCGTCCAAGTTCAGAGATGGCAAGCTACATCCGGCTGCTTCGCTCTCTTTTCCGGACACCAAGATGGTCCAGCAGGATTACCTACGATCGTTGGTAGAACGGCTTCTGCCCAAACTTCTCTCCAAAAAGCTGCTCTCCAGCCGGGCCGTCTCCATAGTCGTGCGGGAGATTGTAGGCTGCGCAGTCTTGTTCCCCGTCGTCCAGCTGCTGGGCGACCCTGACACGTGGAATCAGCTGATAGAGAATCTGGGCCGCTCGATGCTTCAAGATCGATCTACCGTTCGCAAGCTCAGGGCTGCGCTGGACCAGCACGCTTCTCCTACTCCGAAATCCAACAAGATGGCCATAGCACCGCGGCTGGCTCCTGGGGACAATGAGCGTAAATTTGAAAAGTTCATTCGCGCCATCCGCAGGGTCGCCAACCTCTCTGACGCACGGCGATTCCGCAGCGAAGTCGCCAGTCAACTCAAACGCGACTCCTTACAGGCCAATCAGGATCCAGTCTATCTGCGTCGACTGGAGATGGGAAAGCGACTTCTGGATGAGAGAGTGCATCACTTGGCGGCGGGAGGCAATCGCCATGCGCCTCTGCCAGCTCCCTCTGCAACGCCTGGGTCTACCTCGAAGCTTGAAAACGCCTCTCTCGTAGAGTTGTTACGCGATCCGGCAGGTTTATCATACTTTATGGAATACATGGACCGCCAGCGTTTGATGCCCCTGGTTCAGTTTTGGCTCGTCGTGGATGGCTTTCGCAACCCCCTGGAAGATGACGGCCAAGACGACGAGCTCCCTTCTACATTGCCCATGTGGACAGAGTCGGACCGCCTAGACTTGCTTCAAATCCACCAGGCGTATCTCTCCAAGCCGGAACTCAACGTACCGGAGTCAGCCAAGAAGGCTGTCAAGGAATTTCTCCAAGCTGGTGTATCTGCCACGCCCGCCGAGTACTACAAGGCCAGGAGAGCCATCCTGAGAGCCCAGAGTGCAGTATTGGAAATGATGCGCTCTCGATACTTTGAAGGGTTCAAGAAATCAGACTTATACTACAAATGCCTCGCATCGCAGGAGATGTCGCGTGCTACCATGTCGCCACCGCCCCCTTCTCACCAGAGTCCTTCTACATCAAACAGAGCTCAATCATATCAGTCTAAGCCCAAGCCCACCGCACGGTTTGCTCCGCTGCCTGCGGGCCCATCCAGACGACTCTCTGGATCCATCTCTGACCTGAGATCCGTGCATACGAACGGCAGCGGCTTAGATTCGCTTACCGCCTCACGGAGGTCGCTCGACGACGATCGACCTGCAAACCCCCTCTTTGACGACGACGATATGGACAACTACGGAATGGTAGACTCAGTGCAGAGCTTGGACCAGGGTCTGTCGAGGCAACAGACCCCTGATAAGCAAGTAGTCCAGGCCGTAGAGCAAGCACTGACGGACATCTTGGATGATCCCAGGCCGCAGACCGCCGAAGATCTCCGAGCCTCTCTGTTCGACACCGAAGACAACATGTCGAGCCTTTTTGGTAACGATAATGACTCTAACCGAGGTTCGTTTGATGCTGGTAGACCTCAGTCCACGACAAAAGAGGCTGGCAAGCCTACTCTATCGTCATTGGGGCTGGTGAGCGCCGCCTCTCGAATCGGCGTATTTGTAGACGATGACCTCTTTGGGGACGAGGACAAATATCTCCCGGATGGAAGTGACGATGTCGATGAAGACGGCCAATCCGACGAGGAGGACGAGATCCACGAAGCCGCGCCTGGCGACCTTGGATTGGCGGAAGCCATCACAGCGCTCACCAACGACATTGATCGCTTGGTGGCACAAGAGGCGGTCATAGAATCCTTGACGAAGAAGGCAGAGCTCACGAACAACGCAGCAGAGTTGCGGATCCTGAAAAAGTCAAAGATGAGTCTACAAAGGGAGATTCGACGGAAAGAATTGCAGCGACAACAGTACGTGATACAGGAAAGCGACAACAGTCTCTACGGAAGGTCGGAAATCAGGATCAAATCAATCCAGGTGGGGCGAGAGGACGATGGTCGAGAGTTTGCTCTGTATGTCATCGAAGTCCAGAGGAACGCGGGTGAGCAGATGCCGGCGTCGTCCTGGGCTGTGATGAGAAGATATAGCGAGTTTCACGAACTGCACCAAAAGCTCCGCTCGAGATATCCCTCGGTCCGGAATCTCGACTTTCCCCGCCGCCGTGTGGTGATGAAGTTCCAGAGCGATTTCCTCCGCAAAAGGCGTGCAGCGCTGGAGAAGTACCTGCGGGAGCTGCTGCTTCTGCCCGATGTGTGCCGCAGCCGTGAGCTGCGAGCATTTCTATCGCAGAGTGTCATCGCGCCAGGCGCCGCGGATCCGATGGACCGAGAGAACAAGAAGGACATGATGACTCGCTTGTACGACTCGGTAGCCGATGGCATGGAAGACATTCTCGGCAACATCCCGGTGCTCGACCAGATCTCGGTCGCGGGACAGAACTTGATTGCGGCGGCAACCAACCAGCTCAACACGATGCCGCTCAACACCGGTGAAGAAACATTCCCTGCTGCGGAGGCCGAGGCTGAGCTGGACGCCTTTGAAAACAAGGAGATGGAGCCGTTCATCAAGCCCATCTGCGACATCTTCCTTGAAGTCTTTGAGCTCAACAAGGGGAACAACTGGCTACGAGGGAGGGCTGTTGTGGTGGTGCTGCAGCAGCTGCTTGGCGGAACGATTGAAAGGAGAGTGCGAGAAAACATCAAGATGGCGGTGCAGGAAGAGTCGCTGCTTCGATACATGGGAATGCTACGAAGCGCACTGTGGCCGGACGACGAGCTGGTTCGGGATCGGAAACCACGCACCGCTGCGGAGAAGAAGAAGACGCGAACCGAAGCCAGTCTGATGCTCGCAACTCTGGTGCCGGACTTGGCGGGAAACGTTGTAGGACGGGTCAATGCTCAAGCGGCAAGCCGACGCCTCTTTGCAACGTTTAACAACTCCAGGCTCAAGTAAGAGAATCCGCCTTGTCCGCTGATCTTTCGTGCGTGTAAGCTGTGCTGACTTATACTTGCAGCTCTCACCTTGTGTTTACAATACTTGATGAAATTGTGTCGGTCCTCTTTGATGAGGCTTGAAGCGTTCTCTGAGCATCCATTACATATACTGGAGGGTTGGCATTTTGAAGCATTATGAAGCATGGCGTGGGCGTTTGCCGTTCAGTTTAATCCTTGTCTGCTCTCTTGTTTCTTTCACATTATTATCCTCTCCTTGTTGTTCACTTGAACCTCGCTGCAGATTACCTTGAATTATCCAGCGTGCTCTCTGAGAGGTGGTTGGTATGAAGATTGTATGAAACAGTTATGCAGGTCCAGATTCACTCGTCTTAGCAATAGATGGAGCTTGCTGCCTATCATAGGTCGATGAATGTGATATATACCTTATCTTTCAATAATGCCGTCTCTCCTGTCCATCGTTTCGATCGAAATTGTGTCTAGAAGGCCCAAGCCTCACGATTGCCATACCGCGTACCTGAATCTATGTAGCACGAATCACCTTTTAACACAGAGTCCTGGCGGAGATGAGAAATCCGTATGTACTACTAGTACTGGTAATCGGAGATTCCGATATATCGACCGATTAGATCCGCATTGAGGGAGGGATCCGTGATCTGCAGCATCCAGGTCAGTCTTATTCAGCCAAGCCTGCAGAGCGCCTCCCGAGCCACCGATTAGGTACGCAGCTGCCGGAGGTTGATTAATCCCGATCCGTGTGGGCTCCCGCACGTCCTGGGCGCGGTGGGGGTTTGCCTTGACCTTAAGCCATTTACTACTAGCATCAGCCAGCACAGCTTCCTTCAAAAGCCACATTGAACCTTACCTTTGACTTCTGCTTCGCTTCCGTCCAGGCAGATCCTCTTTCGCTCTGCCGTCTCTGCTCCAGCGGCCGCCGACGAGGAACTCGCAGACAGAGCGCCCACGAAGAACCGCTTTGCCTCGCCTCAACCCGCCAGAACCCGGTCCTTCAGCCTCGCAATCCCGGCCTTTAGCCGCCAGCTGCTTCGACAACATCCCTCCCTTGACTCGCTTCGAGACGGTGACGACGACTTTCCTCGGGCAGAGAATCCTCTGGCTACAGGACAATTATCCCGCGCTGCTGTTTCGGCGACTTCCCATCTGCTCAGTCTCGCAGCCTGCGACCCTCCTCCAGCCACTGTCGGGCCGTAAGGGAACCCCCCCCGAAACCGCCAGGATGATGCCATCCGCGCACGTCTACGGCCACCACCAGTTCAATCCCCAGGCGGATTCGGCCTGGATGCACCAGCAGGCGGGCCATCACCAGCAACACGCACACCAGGCCGCCGCAGCCGCCGCCGCGGCTCAGCAGCAGCAGCAGGCTCAACAGGCCCAGCAGCAGGCTCAGCAGCAGCAACAGCATCAGCAACAGCAGGCGGCCCAGCAGCAACAGGCCCAGCAGCAGCAGCCACCGCCTCACTATGGACGCATGCCCGGCGGCCACGCAAACGCCAACAACAGCATCGCGGCCACCCACGGGCAGGATGGTGGACACGACAACATTTCGGAGGACAACCGGCGGACGATGGCGTACATTGCGGACCTTTTGAGCGAGAACACCAGGGAGGCGGCTCTTCTAGAGCTTAGTAAGAAGAGAGAGCAGGTGCCTGAGTTGGCTCTGATATTGTGGCACTCGTTTGGTATGGGCTCCTGTTTTCGTCAAGTTCCTTTTTATCTCTTATCATTCTCCCTCCCTTGCACTCTCTCCTGGTACTCAAAAAGGCGATGCTGACCGGATCTCCCATGTTCGTAGGTGTAATGACATCGCTCCTGCAAGAAATCATCTCTGTATACACGCTCCTCAATCCCTCGCAACTCACAGCGGCCGCCTCGAACAGAGTGTGCAATGCACTGGCTCTCCTCCAGTGCGTGGCATCGCACAACGATACGCGGACCCTGTTTCTGAACGGTAAGCTACCCATCAGCGAAACTTCTTCTGGTGGATCTCAGACAAAGTCGCAGTATGGCTAACGCACCGGCTGACAGCACACATTCCTCTCTTCCTCTATCCTTTCCTGAACACGACATCCAAGTCCCGTCCGTTTGAGTATCTCCGCCTGACAAGCCTAGGCGTCATCGGGGCCCTAGTTAAGAACGACTCATCCGAGGTGATCAATTTTCTTCTCACAACCGAGATTATCCCGCTGTGCCTTCGCATTATGGAGACTGGATCGGAGCTCAGCAAGACCGTTGCCATCTTCATTGTTCAGAAGATACTGTTGGATGACAATGGCCTCAACTACATTTGCGCCACATACGAGCGATTCTATGCTGTCGGCACTGTCTTGAGCAATATGGTTGCTCAGCTTGTCGAATCTCAGACTGCTCGCCTGCTGAAGCATGTAGTGCGATGCTTCCTTCGGTAAGGCTGTTCCAAAACAAAGAAAACGAAGAAAATATAAAAATGTAGTGTTCTCCCAGAATTGTGTGTGCTGACCAAAGATTGATGCAGATTGAGCGACAACGCCAGAGCGCGAGAAGCTCTCCGTCAATGCCTTCCCGAACCCTTGAGAGACGCCACGTTCTCGTCTGTTCTCCGTGACGATGCGGCCACTAAGAGATGCCTCGCTCAGCTTCTGATCAACCTCTCCGACAATGTTGTTGACCCTAACTCTGCTGGTGTCTCTGCTCTATAAAGGAGAGGAAGAGAATGAAGATGGGAGAACAGAAACGAGACGTGCAGAATCAGGGACAGGAAGAGCTCCCCCTGATGAGGGCAACTTACGGAGTTTTAGACAAACGGTTTTTCACGAAATTATGGACGGCAAAAGAAGCAGTTGACGGACAAAAGTATTGCGCCTTATTGATACCCGCAGAATATTTCTTTCCATCTTGATCCGAGGCGCTTGACGATGTTCTTTGCTTCGGCATCCCGCGAAGGAGGCGGGAGTCGTGCTCTTCCGAGGCCTGGACAAAATCTAGACCTTGGTTGTACCATTTTCAGCCAGGGCGAGGCGGATCATGTATGCACTGGGATCGGTGCCTTGTTTTTAACAACGGGGGATTTTTTTTTTTTCTTCTTTTCTTTTCCTTCTTCTTTTCTTCTTCACGTATTTTTGTTCTTTTTTCCCTGCTATAATGTTTTTATCTACCACCTGTCTCGCTTTTTATACACTTGTTCCTACGGAAGACAGGAAAAGCAAGGGTACATCAGCGGGGACGGGTTGCATATTCAAGGCGAGTCTTCTCTCGGGTTGCGAGTGGGATGTGGTCTCTCATGAAGGATCCCAGACTATCAGCAAGGCGAAACATGCGGCCGTCGGTATGGTCGGCTGTTCACTGCTGGTCCGGATCTGCAGATGCGTGCTATTTCCTTGTTGCGCATGCGAGAGAAGATCGTCGTTGGAAAAGGCGTCAAGGTCACACACAGGTCAAGGCGTTGGTTTAAGCCCGAGGGGATGGGGGGGCATGGGGAGAGGGGCCGGGACAGTTGACATTTGTTTTGTTTTGATTTGAATATTTTGCCGCGGATAAAAAAGAGAGAGTGCGAGGTTTCGAACAGACTTGGCGAGACTGGAGTCTGGATGAGAGATATAGGGGGACCGGGTTAGCGGTTGTGGTATGTACGAAGTATGAGAAGAGTTGATTGTATTGTATCTACCTACCTATGTATGTGTGTACGTAAGGGCAGGGAAAATGTAACTGTATTCCTTTTTTTTTTTTTTGTCTGGTACGACTTTCTTGCATACGCCAGTGGTGCTTCCAAGGCCTCTTTGATGGTCGGACCGTGTAGTGAAACAAAAGGAATCTGAGAAAATGCAAAGGGGAGCGTACATCGCCGTCGTCTTATCGAAGACAAATAAGAAGAAACAAGAACACTCTACAGACACGCAAGTTGAATATGTGTCACAACCTTCTGCCATTGTCTAACATCTCTCTCTCTAACCTAACTCAACGCCTAACAAAAACAAAATAGATATTGACACCGTTTTATGCATTGCTTGTGTAGGCCCCGGCTGCCAACCTCACCTCAACCCCCTTATAAATCGCTGCCATCAGCAAAAAGTTCAACTTCATCCCCCCTCCCCTTTTCCTAAACATTCCCTTTGCATCCAATTATCAAAAAGTATCTCATGCACCGCCTCTTTCGAAACGTGTGCCCGTCCTCTTATCCAGAACTAGGTTAGCAAAAACCTCTTGCTACTCTATTTTTCTTTCCGAACCTCGCCCCTTGTATGGCCTTTTTTTTTTGTTGGCCTTGGGACGTTTTCCGTAGAAGGAGCAGTCACGGGTAGATGCATGTAAATCTCACGAAAGAAGCATCTCCCATACTAATGCTGGACTGTGTGTTTGTTTGGTTGTGACATGATGGACAGGATGAGATGCTAATATGCTGAATGAGTATGTATGTAGATTGTAGGTACGACGCGTATACAAACACGGACGGTGTAAGGAACTGACACAATTCCAACTACTACCTATCAGCAGTTCAAGCAAGGCGAGCGAGAGGAAGCGAGGGAGGTGAAGGGGGCAAAACCGGCGAGAGAACAGAAAGGTATCTGGGCTGTCCCAGAGAACTCATTGCCCTAGCCAGGAATGTTACCAGTTACCAGGCTTCTGGTTGGCAACTGAAGAGATTTGAAGCACTACCAGACTGGGCGAGTACGAGGCTTCATCGCCATGCTTACTTGGTATCTGGTACGAATATCAATGATAATTGCCCCATTTCGTCAAGTTGGCGGTCTCTCGGCGCAACAAAAGCGGAAAAGTAAAAGTGCTACATCATCAGTAAGAGACGCAGAATGGACATGAAGCATGGAGCAAGTGATAAGAGAAAGGCATGCAAAAGAGTAAAACGTTGCATTGGGCGGCTACTGACATACACATGCTTGCCCTGGCTTGTTCGGACGCTACAACTCCCCAGGCACGGGAAACACTAAGCTGCCGGTAGAGTTTGAGACGGAGTGAAGTGGTAGTAGTAGTTCGAGCCATCAAGGTTAACGAGGTTGAATACAACCTTAACTTGTGCGGAGTAGGGAGGAGGATCATATCCTCCTTTACTCACTACAATCGAGCCTCACTCCATTCGTGCAGGGGACGACGCTCGCTCGCCTGCGGCTCAGGCAGGGGGTTTGCCACAACCGTTGGACGACGTCCTGGATCCTCAGTGACGATGCGGTGCCGTCAAAGTCGGCCATTGGCTCGCTTGTTCGTCTGCCAGTCCTGGTCATATCTGGTGGAGGAGCCTCCAACTGCCGGCCACGAACTAGCAGACGGGTGCCAACTCGGTAACTGTCCACCTCGGAGCACGCTAGGAAGTCAAAGAAAAGTCATACATACATGCAGCATCAAGCATAGCCGATACCAAGTATACGAGAACTCCGGCACCAGCTCATCAGTTCACGCCTCTTGCTAAGCGAGAGGTCTGCGGAGGGACCATCTGTGAGAAGCGTCAACAACTTGTTTGCTTCAAACAGTGCATGTGCGTTCTTGTATTCAATCTCGTGCATCTGCATCTTCTTCTTCTATGGTGACTGGTACTTGTATCCATACTGCTCCTTCGCGGCATCGACAATCTTCTTGTCCTCGGCGACCCTGGCAGCCTGTTCGTCATTCAGTCCCTGTCTTGCGTCCAGGAATGGGGCTGAAGGGACGTGGAAGCCTCTCTGCACGGCGGGGCGGTCCCAAAGCCGGAGCAGCCAAGCCTTGACGTTGGGAAACTGGTCGTGAGAGATGCTGGTAAAGGGCAGGCCGTTGACCCAGCCCACTAGAGCAATGTCTGCGATGCTGTACTTGCCGCGGCCCGGCCCAACAACATAGTCACGGTCGGCCAGCCGGGTGTCGAGGATGCCGTAGAGGCGTTCCGTCTCTCCAACGTAGCGCTGGATGGCATAGGGGATCTTCTCCTTGGTGAAGCGAACAAAATGGTTCGCCTGGCCCTGCATAGGTCCAACGCCTCCATGCTGAAAGCCGATCCACGATTCGGCACGTGTGTAGTCATCCGAGTCAACAGGGAATGAGAAGAGGTTCTTGGTGTCATAGCGGCGTGCCAAGTATCCAAGGATAGCGTTGCCCTCAAAGACGGCCAGGTCGTTGTTATCATGGTCCACAATGGCAGGGATACGGCCGTTGGGGTTGATGGCAGTGAACCAGGGCTCCTTCTGAATGTTTTGCGAGATGTTGATGCCCTGGTACGTGTACTCGAGCCCGTACGCCTCTTTGAGCTCCTCCAGCAAGATGCTGGCCTTGTGGCCGTTGGGGGTACCTGTTTGGCTCGGACAAAATCCCTGGTCAGTGACAGATGAACCTCAGGGGAAAGGGCTTGTACGCGAGCAAGGAGGGACGGGGATCTTCTATCCCCCGGGACTACTGGATCATTTTCCCCGACAGCAAGCATACAGATGTGCCATCACTTGTACTTGAGAGACGGGGAGCGAAACAAGTCAATAACTGAGGCCTGATCTGGCAGGAACTTTTTTGATTCTTCCTGGCGAGACAAGGTCTTGGGTGTAATTCAGCCATGTGATGCCATCGGTGCTCGTATAGCCATAGCCGCGGATATGCTTCTTCTCCGGGCGTATGGGTATTCGAAGCAATCGGTGAGATTGCAACGCAAGTGCCAGGGGCCGGCGTCAAGGACACGGCAGCAGTTTGCGATGGCGTTGAGATTCGTCCACGCCCCTTGTCGCTGAGAAGCAAGCTTGGCAAAAGGAAAAGCAAAGAAGCAACGTGTGTGTAGAGGAAGATGCAGGTAGGTAGATTCAGTGTGTGCGGGAGGATAGAAGTGCGTTCATATGGCGTGCTGGTACACGAACTAGATGTTCCCAGCACGAAAGCATACGGAGCACGAATATGGACTCATATGTGCATATGCTAGAGATATGTGCAGTCCCTCGATTGGTATAAAAAGGTATGTACATGGAGTCGTACATTTGAAGATCGAGATCGAGACCAAGGATAGAATACGAAAGCAGTCGAGGCAGAGAGGGGCTTTGGATCCGGGGCTTGATATAATGGAGACTAGTAGGAGTTATGCTTACCCCAGGTCAAGAGCTCGATGCCCTTTGTGGCAATGAGGCCAGTTGGACGCGCCATTGGTGCTGATGCTGGTGCTGATGCTGATGCTGCCGCTGCTGCTGCGAGATCCGACGTGATGCTGCAAGGGGTGGTGTGGTGCTGATGCACAAGTCGTGTAGCCGTAGCTGTGGTTGTGCGCAGCAAAGATGCGAGGTTGAGGGATGAAGAGAGGACGAAGACGAAGATGAAGACGGAGACGAAGATGGAAGAGAAAAGCCTCGATGTCGTCATTTATATTGATCCAGATGCAGCTACGAACAGAAAGAGCGGCCCTCTATCGATACAGTATTTGACGCAACAGCTTCTCTTTCTTGTGCCCTCTCGTCAGCGACTTTGTCCCGCTCCTCATCACTACGTAATCCACGGCAGGTCTTGCGAATGGCTTGAAGTGGGAACGAAAGCAACTATATCGTATTTGTCAGGAAGAGGGGCACGCAGTTCGTGCATTACACATCAGGATAACGAGAAGACGGAAACGAAATACGCTGGATTACTTAATGGTCGTTCTATATAGTACCAGTATTGATGGTGTCGTGTCTGTCTGTCTGTCTTGTCTGTCTAGTTGAGAGCGTATCTGGTCGGATTAATCAGCGCTCCGGGGGCTTTCGCGACGCCCCGA